ATGACTCACTGCACTAAGTTAGATGTGTCCAGGTGTGACCTCTTGAGTTGCTGAGGATGTGATTTCTTACTCTTAAGGAGAATACATAGAAGACAAACTACATAGTGGAATATACAGTAGAATATGCAGTTGATCCACCACGAAAGGGGATTTTGTCTCTCATTACTAACACTGAAATCATTTTATGGCAGAATGTTTTTGCTCTAGTCATGAGCAGAAAGAGCGAATACAGCAACCAATAAGCCAGTCAGTGTCTGCATCTGCATTTCAGTGTTTTTTAGAGACAGACTTGAAAAGAATGTCAACCTGTCCTTTAACATTTTTCTTGCTAGGAGGACAGTTTTATTTATGACATATTATGTGTCTCCTCAGAGCGTCAGGAGCAGCAGGTCCTCAGAGCAGCTACTACTGGCTCCTCGTCTATTCGCCTTACCTGGAGAATCATCCAGTCCTCTCGAGGGTATCGTCTGGAGTGGAGAGAAGGGGAAGGTCAGTGGTGCATGTGACATGGATGCACTAACATTTACTTGTTGCTCTCGTGCTCCAAGCATATAAACACACAGTCATTTACTGTAACCCTCTGAACCCCAAGCGATTTCTGGGACTTTTTTTTTTTGCTCCTGTCACATTTTTACTCACTGTGGGCATAATTTTTTATTTTTTATTTTCCTGCACCTCTGTTTCCCCAAGTGCCCTCAGGTGTTATCAATACTGGATAAAATGGTGGCTCCTCAATCTATAGATACTTCACAATTTACATTTGTTTCCATATTTCCCTCCTATGTGCTCAATGTAAAAACAACCTGCAATTCAGCCTTGCTCAGTCCTGGAATTTTTGAGTTGGCAATGGCTTCACAGTTTTAATGATGTATAACAATTTTAGGCTTAGATTTAGGTAGTTTTCTAGTTTTTCCAACAGCATGACACAAGTGCTTAGTGCAAGGATAGTTGGAAAGTTGAAAATTCAATCATTCTTTCTGTTTTTACAGAAAGAATGATTTGGTATTTATTCATTTTTGCTTACATTTCTTTTAAACCTGAGCATCTTTTTGGGTTCAGAGGTTTAAAACATACTGCATCTTTTGAAGCAGGCTGAGCAATGTGGACATCTTTATCATTACAAAAAAGAATTTTGGAAGAAATAGGAAGTATATACACTGTAAATTACATGTAAAAGGCAATTTAAACTCACTGATCCTGGAACGTCATTGTATTCTCCAGGAGGTCGTGTCCAGACCCTGTCCTTCCCCAGAAGCACCACCAGCCATGAGCTGACAGGCCTTCAACCCAACACTGAATACGTCATCACCCTGTACACCCTGTACGAAGGCCGTGAGGAGGCCACACCTGTCTCCACCACATCCAGAGGTCAGCCAGGGGCTCTGAACATCATCATAAATGTGCTGATGTTGGATTTTCTTACTTGTGCATGTATCAAAGTTTTATCTGATGTTGCAGAGGAACAGCCAGTGGGGAGGGTGTCCAACCTGCGAGTGGTGGAGTCTCTGGGCAGCACTGTCAGACTCGGCTGGACAGGTGTAGCTGGGGCCACACAGTATCGAATCATTATCCAGAACACAGAAGGTACAATGATTTTAATTCATTATGTTGGTCATTTTGATTTCTATCGCCCAAGTATGAATCAAAACCTGACTGTGGGTCCTGCATGCTCCATGTCATGTCAGTGGGAACAGACGAAATCCGAGTTATCTCCGGAAACCAGACGACCCTGGACCTCAGAGACCTCATAGTGGGAGTGTCATATGGCGTCAGTGTCACAGCACTGGTGGGAGAAAACGAAGGAGACCCAGTTACTGTCTACATCAAACCAGGTGAGTTGAGCAGGGACATGCAGCAACTGACAGCGACTTCTCATTTACTTTCTCTATCCTCTAATCTGCCAGTTTCACTGAATGAGATTTTAAATGCTGTTCAGCAGATACTTTATGTTCATTAGTGTTATCTCGGGATCTTTTGATATAGCCAGCATTACCAAACACAGGGAACATCCAGTATGTTTGAAAGTCAGTAGCCTTGCATGAAAATTTCTACAGTCTTTTTCCTTTTCCTATTTTTACTAGAGTAGAATACTCAGACTCTGTATTGTTCTTCTTGCATTAGAAATATTTCATTTTTGTCACTTTATATTCGTTATATCCTTTCTATTGCAGAACAAAGTGCTGGGAGAGTGACAAATCTCAGAGTTACAAATGCAAACAGTCGAAGGATGCGAATTGCTTGGACTGGTGTTACTGGGGCAACAGGGTACAGGGTGACTTGGAGACAAGGCAGCAGTAAGTCTTGTATTGTAAAAGATTTGAAAAATTATTATTTCAAAAGCTGTATTGTTGTATTTGTCTAGTAAATATTTTACATTGAATATTGTAGTTCTTACCTTATGTGAACCTGCTGTATTATAAATGTATTATCATTGAAATCAGACGCAGATGAAGAAAGAATCATAAAATGGGCTCAGTGTGTATTTTAGATGTTTTCTTTCCATTACTTTTAAAACCATTACTTACTTTTAGTGAAGCAAATATCCCAAAATCTAACTGACCAGTGCATGAAAATAATCTATTTTTACCTGCAGCATCTCACCTTAAAAACAGCAACAGACTTTCAGAGTCCAAACCTTGTATTTTTTGGCTTGTACTTATTTTTTATTTTTTTCTGTGTGTATATTTTATATATTTCTTTTCTGCCTTGCAGGTGCAGAACAGTCTCGTGTGCTTGGCGCGGAGGCCACAACTTTCACTATGGACGGCCTGCAGCCAGACGAGGGGCTGGTAATTGGTGTAGCAGCTGTTGTAGGTCAGCGTGTTGGAGAGGTGGCCACACTGTCTGCTCGGACTAATCCCCACGGCGGAGGACTGTCTGGACTTCGTGTCGTTGATGTCACCTCTCAGAGGATACGCATCACATGGTCACCTACCGCAAGGGCAACTGGTTATAGGATCACTTGGCGTCGTGATGATGGTAAAGAATAATTTGCACTGACAGATACAAGATGCATCCAAGTATGTGATAAGGGTGAAATGTAATGAACAGTACTGTGAAAGCTTAGTGTTTTATCAAAGTTCTATTGGGTGCAGGAGTTGAGACAACCCGTACTGTGGGTGCTGACGTCTCTTCATACGCTATTGATGGACTACAGTCAAATTCAGCCTACAGCGTGCAGGTTTCTGCACTGTCTGGATCTCGAGAAGGAATTCCGTCCACGCTAACTATCAGAACAGGTATCTTACTGAATCATCCAGTGTCTATTATTGTTGTTGTTCAGAATATGTTTTGAAAGAAACTTAGAAAAAAGTAGCTGAAATACAACTGTAATTAAGTATTGTCTAACATTTTCCTGTCCTGACTGTCAGAGTCAGATCAGTCTGTGGTTGGGACGGTGACGTCACTGCAAGTCCAGGAGACCCGTGGGGAGGTCGTTCGAGTCACTTGGGTCGGTGTGCAGGGAGCAACGTCTTATCGAGTGTCTTGGAAGAGAACGGATGGTGAGGTTTTGTGGCCTGCCGTTCTTTTTGGTATAATTCTTTCACACAGTTGCATAAATCTCACAGCTGATTGATCCCACTTTTATGGCTGCTGGTATGTCTTTCAAATCCTACTGTTGTGACTATGTTCTGCTGTAGGTGGTCAAGAGAGGAGTCAGTTGGTGGGTGGAGATGTGACAGCAGTGGATTTAGACCGGCTGGACCCTGGAGCTCAGTATGAGGTGCAGGTCATGGCTTTAGTTCAAAACCGAGAGGGAACCCCTGTGTCTGTCAGAGTCACCACACGTGAGTCCTGTTTACCTGCATTATGTCGAGGTTCCTAACAGTTTTGTTAACCTTTGACATTGTGTAGATTGGGGGGAAAAAGCCTTAATGGTTTTCCTGAAGTAATGGATGGATTAACAATATTTGGTGTTTTTGAGTTTTGCCCTATAACGTGGCATATGTTGTCACTAAGCAAAACCTTAAAAGTGACTGAGAAGCCCTTAACCATCTGAACTTTAAACTTGCTGGAAGGTCTGAAAGGTATCTTTTCTTTTTCAAAAATGGCTAAAATTACAGCATTTATCAGAGCTAAAAATGTAAAAACAGAAAGACAAGAAAATATGGCAAAAAATGCCCAGGAGCTGCCTGGAGTTCAGAGGGTTAAAGCCAATGTGGAAGTCATCATGGGAATACTGTCGTCGTTATCTGCAATAGTTTAGTATAATAGTTATATATATGTATATATGTATGTATGTATATATATAATAGTTTAGCATAATATACAGAATCTTGTATTTGATAAATATATTTGATGTTTCCATGTACACAGCTGGTGATACTACATCACTACCCACCACGACTTTACGAGTGGCAGAGATTACCCAGAATTCTGTGCGACTCGGCTGGACTCCTCTACCAGGCGCCACAGGATATTTTGTGAGATGGAAAGATGAGACAGGTGGGGCATGTTGTCACGTATGTTTTATTGTTCAGATGCTTATATGCATGCTCTGTTGAAGTGATCCTCTCATCTGGACTGTTTGCATGTCTCAGATACCAGCCCAGGGCTGTCGGTTACGCTGCCTTCATCGTCCAGCTCCTACCAGGTGACTGGGTTGCGTTTGGGCCGTCGATACCGATTCAGCGTGAGGCCCTCCTTTCAAAGTGGAATGGGAAGAGAGAGCTTTGTGGACGAACGCACTGGTAACACACATGATACACTATTTCCTGTACTCCCATTGCCTACAGACACTTGATGTCTTACTCACCCTTACAAACTTCTCTGTCTGCAGTGTGTCTGGGTGGACGTCTGGATGTGGTGTTTCTGGTGCCTGCATCTACTGATCGGATTGGCCTTGCAAGGAATCTGCGTGAACTCGTCACCAGTGCAGCAGGCTCACTTACCAATGTTGGACCCCGTGACTCACAGGTATCTTTTCACAAATAAGTCCAAAACAGAGTTTAGAAAGATACAAGGAGCTGTCATGGTCACTTTATTAGCTCTCAACTGCCAACATTTTAAGTTTTTTCTTCCTGTTTCAGGTTGGGGTTGTAGTATATGGATTTAGACCAAAAATATGGTTCCTGCTCAACCGCCACAGTAGATCTGACACACTGCTCCAAGAGATCCAGTCCACACCATTTGATGAAAGCCCAGGGAATAACATTGGTCAGTATTCTCTGACGTACGTTTTCTGCTCTAACTCAGCGTCTGTGGCTGCTTGGTGTTGTGTGACGACAGCTGTGATCTTGCTTGTCTCCCTCTGCAGGTGAGGCGGTGACTTTCACCAGACAGTACCTTCTGACCCCCTCAGCCGGACGGAGACCAACAGTACCTGGCACTGTTGTCATCATTGCGGACAAAAGATCTGCTGACAACCTGACTCTGGCAGCCAACAATCTCAGAGCTACAGGTGGGTGGGGGCAGACCAGCAAACAGTCGCACTCTGATCGCCTTCTGAATGACACTCATGGTTTGCATTAAATCACAGAGTCACCAAAGACATAGTTTGTGTGCCAGAATCAAAAAACACCTTTCTTTTTCACTTTTCACTACAATTTTACACCTGTTACAAGCTGACATGTCTATAGAAGTTAAACGTATTGAAATTAAAACAGAAACTAACAGCGCAAAATTATAAGACTCCATTTTTTTGAAAGAAATGTTGCTTCCAGCTGTTTGTAGGACTCTTTACTTTGAGTTTAATAAATATATGCAGCGTCAAACAGTAGCAGCAAGAGCCAAAGCAAGAGAGTTGTTATCATTAATTACTTTTTAGTATAAATTGCCTCCAACATTAAGATAGGATCTAACCACAAGTCAAACTGTGTGCTGTTCTTCACCTTAGACAGATGAGTTGTCACAGACAGAATCACAATTTATAGATTGATGTTAAATCATTTGGTGCATTCAGGATTTCGATGTAATCTCTTGTCTATGACATTATTATGTTTTGTATGTCACTTTATGTACTATCCAAGTCTTGTGTGTATGGCAAATGTTATCATCTTCCTCTTTCCTCTTGTTGCTGACTATGCTTTATTATGACTGGCTGTGTGTTTAGGGTTGTTTCATACTGCAGAATGTATTGATTCTGCAGCATGATGGATCAAAAACGACCTTTGCAGAGCACGGCACTGTGTCCAGTACACACACAAATCCCACGACTCTATCTGCTCGATTAAACAAATGTGTGTTTGCCAGGTGTGACGGTGCTAGCAGTAGGTATAGACCAGGCAGACACTGAGGAGCTGCGACGGGCTGTGACGGATGGCAGCACCCAGAACATCCTGTACGCCCGCGATGCAGCTCAGTTGAACACACTGCATTCAGATCTGGCAGACTTGCTGTGTGGTATTGCCAGAATACCGGAGGTGAGAAGAAATCTGGAAAAACAATGTTTGCTTCACACTCTTGTTTTTCGAGTTCGAGCTAAACTTGATGTGATCCGAACACAGCCGACAGAGAAAAAACAACACATTTTTCCCATTATTGTGTGAATACAATGCTGTGACTGTCAGTTCAGTTCTTGGGTGGTATTTGTGGTGGAACTGAATTACTGTCAAATGATAGAAGACGACAAACATCGTTCATCTCAGCCAAGTGTGTTTCTATCGTTGTGTTGTTCAGGTACCTGGTCCAGGTCCAGACCAGTGCTCCATTCAGTGCCCTCGGGTAAGTTATTCTACATTGTCATGTTCTATCACAGACTTTTATAACCTGTTATCACAGGTTCAGTTTATTAGGCAGACTCCAGCCCCGATGAATGAAGTGTCAATTATATGACTGCTAGAAACAGGTGTTTTCTTCCTCTTCCCCTGCCTTCTTCTTACTGTGATTTCTAAATATGTTTTATCTTTCTCATTTCTCTTAGGGTGAGAAGGGAGAACGTGGAGACAGGGTACAGTCCTGCAGTTGCACTATTGTTTTATTTTTTACCACTCTTATTGTTATTTTTGTTTTCAGCTCATAAGGTGCAATTTTTTTGTTTGCCTCCACAGGGTGAGAGAGGCAGAGATGGTGTAGATGGACGCAATGGAGAGCCTGTGAGTCATTCATAAGTGCAGAACTTGAGGTTTATAAGTGGTATTATGGCAATTACTGGATATTACTCCAGCTTCAAGAGCATGTGCATTAAGAAATGTGCTCTTATTTTCAAACCAATATTTATAGTACACCTTTTCCGGTTATGTATGCGCGATGTAGGGTCGCGATGGTATTCCCGGGCCGGAAGGCCCCAGAGGCCCTGACGGACGCCCGGGTCCACCAGGCCAGTCCATCCCTACTGACCCCTCACTGGGGGTGAAAGGGGAAAAAGGGGAGAGAGTAAGTAGAGTTAAGGTTGTTCTAACATCACACAAATAAGATAATCCCAAAGTAACCAGCAGTTTGTTTTAGGGTTTCCCTGGTATCGATGGAAGTCCAGCGTTGCCAGGACGGCCAGGTGCCCCCGGAAATGCAGGTGTCCCAGTGAGTAAAGACACTAGAACCCACAGACACAGTTTGATATTGATGATGTTGTTTTAGCACTATAGTAACTAAACACTTGCTTTTACCCTGCAGGGTTCACAGGGGATACCTGGTATCAGAGGAAACCCAGTGAGTAACCTTCATCCTCCTGACCTGGACAGTTGCTGTGTGGATGTGTGAATATGAAGTACAGTGCTTCTTAGACTTTTTTTGTGTTCTAGGGTGAACCAGGAGGAACAGGTCCACAAGGGCCAAAGGGTGATAGAGGTGAAAGGGTGAGCTGGAACACTTCTCAAATCCACAAATGTGTGTGCAAAAATTAATTTGTGCCAGTTTAGAGAAGACAAAGAAACATGACGTGTTGAGTGTCTGTTTGTTTCCTGTGCTTTGCTTACGTTGTAGGGTGAACCTGGTTCTTCTGTGTCTGGAGGGGGTTTTCCAGGGAGGAAAGGAGAACCAGGCATCTCAGGAATACCGGTAAGAAACCAACTAGAAAGTGAGCCCAGACTGTTCAAACATAAACAACCATGAGACAGCCACATTGTCGACATAAATACAGTCAGGAGGTAATAACAACGGGCTTTCTAGTTTCTAGTTGTAAATGGCCGCAGTAATCCTAAATCCCACAACAAGTTTAACTCACATGAACCGTCCACTCTGCATCAGAGAGGTTAGGTCTCGTTGTCAAAATGTTTTGGATATTCTTGGTAAAGAATCAACAGCTTTAGTTTTTGTCTGTACTAACCAGTGCTTGTGTTGTGCATTAAGGGAAATCCAGGTCGACCGGGCAGCGACGGGGTCAAAGGAACCTCTGGAGTTCCAGGGACACCAGGTCAGGATGGTCGCCCTGGGATACCAGGAACGCCAGGACTCTCCATCAAGGTTTGCCTCCTTCACTGCTTCTCTTCCTCTACATAAAGCAGAAGATCTCTGTAAATAAAAGATATTGACATCAGACCTTGTAAATTCAAAATCAAGTTATTCAAATCTACACCAGGATGCTTCTCATTTTAACCACCTGAACCCCAAAAACCTACCAGCACGTTGTTTTTCAAAAAGATAACCCAATTTTACACCATTTATCAAAATCAGAAATGATAAAAATAGAAAGAATCATTGAATTTTTAATTTTCTGATGTCAGTCCTTAAACTACTCATCTGTCACCTCCTGTTCCATTAAAGCTTAAAATCATATCTCATTAAAATCACTTTATTCAACATGTCTCATTAGTAAAAAATGCTAAAAATGAAATGCCTATTCTAACAAGGTTCTGTAAAAAGCAAAAAAGAATTGCGCTCCTCAGCGAACCTGAGCAGCCATGAGTGATTCGGCTGTGAACAACAGTCACGTGACAAATTTTTTGAACTTTTCAGCTGAACTAGGTTGAACTACAGGCTTTGCTTACACAGAGCAGATAGGAGGCAAGTATGGAAACAGGTTAAAAATGTAAGTTGTGAACTTCTGTAGTATGTCGAGTCTTCATTTGGTCCAGTATTAGTAACACCTGAGGGAATGTGCAAAAATGTTGTACATGTGAATCTCTGGTTTTTACAATTTTTGTAAATTAAATGAAGCTTTTTTATGATTATGATCATTATCTCTGTGTTATCCTGCACATGACTTCTTTGAGTTCTCTCTACCTCTGGGTGTTCAAATGACTAACAATCAGCTCTGCTATAGAGGGTCATTGTGCAAAGTTGCTTTAAATTGTAATGGTGTACCTAATAGTCCTGAAATCTGTGTGTATTAGAAAATGTACACAATTTTTAGTTCATGGGCCTAAATCTGAAAATCACGAGTAAAATTAAATAAACAGGTCTTCTGTGAATAGAAAAAGAGACAGGTCAATCTCCGTACCAACCCTAGTGTCTCATCAAAAATAGATCAATGACCCAGCTACATCAGTCTGTACTGTCAAGTTGCGTGCTGCTGTGGCATTTCACTGGTAAACTGAGAACCTGAGCGCAAAGCAGCACAACATAGGCTTGGCAATCGGTTTAATAGATACATCATACTTTGGGCCAAACTCTGAGATTCACAGACTGACATTCAGTGCTGTTGTGACAAATAGGCCAGAAAGACAGACCTGAAAGGATTAAATTACCGTGTGATGACACATTGGAGGACAAGGTGGGCAGAACAAATAGTTCTAGACATGGACGGCATCGAACGCAAGATGTGTAAAGTTCAGGAACTTAGATTCTAATGCTATCTTTTCCTTTTGATGTATCCCAGAGCTTGAAAGAACAGAGTTCAATGTGTTGTGTTGTTTTCATAGAGGTGCAGGACTTTATATTGCAGCGAAAAGTGAAGCCACGGTAAATAAAAATGTGACAGCAGCAGAAAACACCCAGCAATTGCTTGGAGTTCAGAAGGTTAAAAAATGCCAGTGTCACATATAAGATCTTGTCTTTTCAAAGTGCAGGTCACAAATCAAGACTTGAAATTTAAAAATATATATATGTTCAGCTGTTTTAAGACATTACAAGCACAGGAGTCAAAAAAAGGTCTGTGTTGTTTTAAAGTGAGCTAGTAAATAAAAATATATGTGCTGTCATCTTTACTATGGTTACCATGAGTGGGCTGCGGCTACATTGCATTTTAGTGCATTTTTCGTGGAGTCCTACAGTGAAGCTGTTATTGTCAGACTCACACACATGGTGGTAGCATTGAGCCGTCTACATTTTTCTTCAGTGAAGCCTCAACCATTTTACTCTATGCGCCAGAAAATGAAGGGGTAATTTTTATTGCTCAGAGTCATCTCTGATGTAGGATTTTGCGTAGAAGTCGCAGATTTTATTTTAGATTTTTTTTGTGACTGTGTGAACACCCGGGTCTTTGCCATCTCTGTATTTTACTGTGCATCCTGAAATCAGCTCTGACTATTGATGTCTGAGACAGACACTAAGGACGTTTCCTGTGTGTATGTGGCAGTTTCTCTTGACACTTACATGAAGCACATTATTTATCACAATATTTAGTCTCATTCCCAGCAAAACTAGCATTTCATCAGTTTTCAGTTCCTCAATAATTATGGTGTTTTTTTTTTGTAGATTTAAAGAGATGATCTGTTCTGTTATTTCAGCCATTTGTGTTTTTCTCTGCACTGTGTTATCATTGGTTTTCCTTTGTGAAATTGTTTTAACATTAAGATACTGCAGTATTTTAAACAGCAGAGAGGTGGGTTGTTTGTGTATGAATCAACCTGCGAGCATGTGTATACACATGACGCATATCAATCTGTTGGGCAGATTATCATAGAGTTTTTTTTCCCCCCCTATTATCAGTGTTTAGCATCGTCTTGCCTTTTCCCTCCCTCTCTCTCAACCTGTCTGTTTCCTCTTCTTTTCTTTTTTTTCTACAGGGAGATAAGGGCAGCTCAGGAGAGAGGGTGAGTCACACCATCACCAACTTGTCCTCTCACTGCAGAAATATCCTAAGGAGCATAATGATTCTCAGCTCTTATCTCCCTTTGCTGACAGGGACCTCCAGGAGTCGGCAGCGGGGTGGCTGTGAAGGGCGACAAGGGCTCCCCTGTAAGCGCTGCCAATCAACTGGCAATGTGCTGACACATTAAGTTTGCAGGTGAACTCTGTGTGCACATGTGGCGTATTTTGCATTTACTAATTGCTTTTTGTTTTTTTTATATCAGGGTGCTACAGGACCTCCAGGGGCTCAGGGTCTGAGAGGGCCAACAGGACCAGAGGGCAGAAAAGGAGACAAGGTAGCTGCAGACTGATTCAGTTTATGAGAGGATGAGCGATGTGAGGCATTTTAATAAAGAAATTACTTGTGGTTGTTTTCCAGGGCGATGGGAGTGATGGACAGCCTGGAACTCCAGGCAAACAAGGGGAGCCTGGGGACAGGGTAGGTCAGACCCAAAGTACTTAGAAGAATGGCTGATGGTAAAGATGCTGATCTGCGTCTGGATCAGTTATAAACAGTGCAAGGATGATTTGTGAAAAAAAATTTCAAGTGAGGCTAACGGTTGGTAAATGTTTGTTTTAATTTATCACTAGATTGTAGCACCACCTATGGCATCAATTTTAGAGAAACCTCATGAAGTTGCCTTACACATATGTTAATAAAATATACAGACAGGCGACGAATTAAATGAAAAACCAACAAAAGTTATCTTTGTAAGGTATTTGGACACCAACAGCTTCACTGCTCCTTGATCCTCCAAGTTTCTGAACTCTATTGCAGAGATGAAACACGGTCCTTCCAAAAGATATTCCTTGGTGGTGATGGAGAACTCTGTTTAACATGATGGTCCAAATCTGACATAGGTTCTTCAGTTGGGTTGAGATGTGGTGACTGAAGGTCGTAGGATATGATTCACATCAATTTCATCAAGCCATTCAGGGACTCCTCATACCATGTGGATGGGGTCATTGTCATCCTGACCACTTTCATCAGGATAGAAATGTTACATCATATGATAAAGGCGATCACTCAGAACAACTTTGTACTGATTTGCAGTGACTCTTCCCTCTAAGGGGACAAGTTGAACCAAACCGTGCCAGCGAAATGCCCCCCCTACAGCGTAACACAACCGTCACGTCAGATCTGTCTTCACTTTAGGGCTCGAGGATTCACGTTTTTTTTTTTTTCTTTCTTTTTTTAAATTGTCATTTGCCTCTAGCTTCAATTGCAAAATGAGTTCCAGATTTTATCTAATGTCAGATCAGCTCTATACTGTAACAGTGCAAATATATTCATGTATTTTATTTACTAAATAAAGTGGCAGAGTTTGTTATAAAACCATCTGGATTAATACATGTTAGGTAAAGGAAAAAAAAAAAAAAGCTTCTGTACCTCACAATTAAGGACTTGTGAGCAAATGGATGAAGCGCTTTAGAAATGGACACGTTTCCATTATACACAATTAAAACAGTCAGTTCTGTTGCGGACGTCTTGTAATTTAACTTTCCAGAAACTGAAACAACTGGAATATCATTTGTCATTTTTGATATGTCTTGCTAACAAATAAACGCATTTTCAACAACACAATTTACCAGAAGGAAAACAACAACCACCTTGGTAGAGATCTGGGTTTAAGCATTTTGCTCATGTTTTTCAGGGCCCCCGTGGACCTCCAGGAGAAATTGGCAGCAAGGTAAAATAAACATAGGGAAAATAGCTTCTGTTATAAGGTGTAAATAAAAGAATGACTGCTTTTACCCTCTCTGTCCTGATAGGGTGACCGAGGACAGCCAGGTGAGCCTGGATCACAGGGAGACAGGGTGAGTCACATGATGAGCGAATTAATTAGGTATAGTCGTGTCCGTACACGTCTAGAAACCATGACTGTGGTCCACATTCACAGAAACAGCACCGGGTTTAATAGCTCAGGTTACCAGACAGAGGAGAAACTGAAAAATTATTATTACCTCCCTCTCTGAGTCAGGTGTGCATCTCATCAGGTTCATATCATTTTAAAATGTTCACCTGGAAAATGTTGGTTAGAGAAAGGGAGGAGAAAAAGCAGACTCCAGTAAGAATATGCTGCAGAGAACTTGTTTCTACATGAACTGAAAGGAAGCTTGAATGTTGGTTCCAGAGTTTCATTATTTTAAATGTCTTTCTTTCAGTTGTAATAAGGTAATGGTGGAATCGGAAAACTGTGATAATGGCAGGGAAAAGCAAGACTTCCTCTTTGTATCAGAACAATATGTCACATTATCTGTTCTTCCCTGTGTAATTCTTAGTCATTTATGCAAGCTAAGGAGCTCTAACAGCTGTGAAGAACAGACTGTGCCAAACAAATGTGTATATGTTCATTATGTATGTATACAGTATATACACAATGTACTGTTTGTGCCAAAAGCAGTTTCATAGTCAATAGGATGCAAGTGTTGTTGACTCTAAGTCATGACAGAGAAGTGGGCCTTTCTCTCCTGACTGTAGCTCAGATAAACCTGGAGCAGTCACTGATTCTGTAGTTTGCACATGCGTGGAGAAAGGAGAATATAATGCAATTTTTCCCTAAAAAACAATCGATAAATCTGAACATTTGTGTCTTTGTAGGGGGAGAGAGGACCGGCTGGTGAAACTGGGGAGAGAGTGAGTACAGCAATATTGGTTCAGTTGTTCATTTAGTTTTTAACTGTTGACATCCTTTAGTCTTTGAAGAGTTTTGGTGCAGTTTTCTGACTGTAGTTGTCTTCTCAGGGGGACCCAGGGAAGCCAGGCCTTCCAGGAACACAAGGGCTGAGAGTGAGTGACACACTGCTGTTTAGTGTTGGCTAATGACGTCTGTGTGCCTTTTTCGTTTTGTATTTGTTGCATGAGAGTCTCACAGCGGAGTGTTTCCATTTGTCATCAGGGTTTATCGGGACTCGGTGGACCTCCAGGAGAAAAGGTGAGACTGATTCAATTAGGAGCAATCACATGAGAAAGCAGCAGGTCAATACGAACGTGATTCCGTCGCTGAATGTTTCATAATGTACCGTAATGAATTTCCAAGCAAAGATGAAAGAACAAGCGAACGTGTCTGTTTCCAGGGAAATGACGGCGCGCGAGGGGAACCTGGCAGAAGTGTGAGCAATCAGTCATGAGGAAATCATGGCATATTTATCTCCAACTCCATCATGGATATGTACTTCCTGTCAATGGCAGATGGGTTTGTGTATGATGACAAGTCTTTATGTATTATTTATTTAAATCACACAGGTTCCAGGTTTCCCAGGCAAGAAGGGAGAACAGGTGAGCTATAAAACTTGTGTTCTCATACAACTTTTAATTTAAGTGAAGTTCACTGGGAGTTCACAGGTTTCCTTTGTTTGCTGTTTTGCCAAAGGGGGAGCGAGGCCTGCCTGGTTCTGAGGGCACGAGGGGAGAAAAGGGAGAGCAGGGGCAGAGAGGAGAGAAAGTGAGCAAAGTGCTTTGGAAAATATGTAGTTAATTGTGTATTCTGAGTGTGTGTTCACTCACAATCTGGCATGTGTCCAAATACTTCTCTGTCATTCTGTCAAGGGGGCTTCAGGTTCAGGAGGGTCAGGAGTTGGCGGAGCTAAAGGAGAGCCGGGAGAGCGAGTAAGTTCACGCCAAGGAGATTGTAGCTGCTCTTTTATCAGAACTACAAATGGCGCAGTCACAATGTTTACAGCTGCTGTGATAAATTCCTGACAATAACATTCATTATTCAAGAAACATTCCCTTGTTCCCACCTGTTGGCGGAAGTCAAACTGAAAATGCATAATGCATGTGCTCTTCCCCTCAGGGCCTCGCTGGTATTAGTGGAAGACCGGGTGCCAAGGTGAGGGTCCTGCTGCGTCTTCTTTAGCCTTCTTTCTTTGTTTGTATCTGTTTGATTGTGAAACGGGTCTTGTTAACTCTTTTGTTAGGGAGACCCGGGGGAACCAGGAGAGAGGGGAGAGAACGGGCGCCCAGGAATCCCAGGAAAACCCGGTTCTCCTGGTAAAGAGGTAAGAGTGGTTTATCAGATCTCACCTATCGCTCTGGGGAATGCAATGGACAGATTCAATTATTTATTAGGTGAAATTGTTTGATTAATCAAGACAATTAGCAGATTAATTTATAAATGTATTTTCAATTGCATTCTTAGTGACCATATAGTGCAAATTTCTGTTATCCCAAGTGATGATTGTACTTGAATGTAGTATTAGAAAACCTCCACATTAACCCTATTTAGGACTTTCATGTTAACATATGTAGAAGGTCTTTCGGGGTCTATTGGACCCCAAGAATGAATATGTGCAAAATATTTGTTGCTATTCATTATAGACTTTTATACTATGTTAAATACATTTTCTGATAAGTTGACATATTTTTGGTTCCAAATGCATGACAAATGTCCCTCTTTTTATATCTAAAAAAAAAAGTTTTTCAAATATAAAAAAAACAATACCTGCCACCTAAACCAAATGGCCTGGGGTCCAAAAGACCCCAAAAGTCCTGAATAGGGTTAATGTCCTCACAAAGATGCAAACCACATCTCCCATTCCATAAACCACAGCTTCTACTACAAAGCTTTCATTGTCTTTCTTTACCCCACAAAGTAACGTACTTTGTTTTATTCTTGCAAAAACACGTTCGAGTCAAATCTTTGTTGTTGCCTGTTACTCTCAGTGCTGTAATCAAAAATCGACCGCCTCTTAAGCCTTCTTCTGTTTCTTCCACCATGCGTCTCTTTCTAATGATGACAATTTAGAGGTAAAAACAAATGCACTTTTTGTATGTCTGACATGTCGACTGCAGTTTTTCTCTTCTTTATATGTGATGTCTCTTGTGATCTTCTACTCGGTTAATGTAGATTTTTCTAAATCAAGCGTTCCTACCCATTGAAATAAATTATTAAACCTGTTTTTATAGGGAGAGAAAGGAGAGAAGGGCGATGAAGGCACTCCTGTGAGTATAATCTATATCTAATGTCTTTTTTAACAAGAAAGTTTATTGATTCCATTTCATTCTATATTTTCATAAAGAGAAAACATTTTATTCTAATAATTAAAGTGTACATGTGGCAGTCAGTGTCTGTCTGTGTCATATTTATGGTTTCATTTTCCATCAGGGGGAGTCTGGACTTCCAGGAAAGTCAGGAGAAAGAGGACTGAGGGTAGGACAAGTGTCTTTGAAATATTTCTATAGTTGAGCTTCCATGTTAATACTTAAAAAGGAGATGAATGGAAAGTTCAGTTAACAGACCTTTTTATTGACTGCACGCTCAGGGACTGGCTGGTCAGCCCGGAAGGCCAGGAGAGAAGGGAGACATGGGAGACCCTGGAGAGCACGGGAGAAATGTGAGACACATATTTATGTATCATCGTTCAGACAGCTTTTCAATATCCTCCCGTGCTATTCCACTGAGACCTTGACAGAGGAAACTGGGAGGAAGGTCAGCTGCTCAGCATCTTTATTGATTTGTGTTCGATCGTAGGGCAGCCCTGGACCTGCTGGAGTAAGAGGAGAGAAAGGCGAACAGGTATGTTGTCTGCTTTATTTTTTCTTGACAAACCACTAATATATCTTGATATCTGCTGTTGGTGGATTTACCCTTTTCACTCTCTTCTGTCAGGGACCTCAAGGGCCTGCAGGACCACCAGGAAAAGTGGTAAGTGTGACATTGTATTTTAAAGAGAAAAGGAAATTCTGATCACACAGAGAAGGCAGAACTGCATGTGATCTTGGTTTTTTGGTCAACAGAGCGATATCCAGGGTCAGCTGAGAGGAGAAAGAGGCGAGAAGGTATGTACTTCACCTGTCTGTTGGCTCTTTGTGTGTACACACAATAAAATATCCTCATTTGAAGTGTGTATATATGACTGACACTTAAAATCCTAAACACAACTTTGAATGTCATAAAATGTAAGTTAATTGCATTTAAAAACTATGTAGTACAACTTCAAAAACATCCCTTCCATCATTGTGATTCCCAGGGCGATGCCGGCGACCCAGGAGAGCACGGTCAGAAAGGTCAGAAAGGCGAAGGAGGGATTCCTGGAGCTGCAGGACTACGTGTGAGTTTTGCCTCATTCTTGCATTTTGTAAATGCTTCCATGCACATCCGATAGACCACCACGTATGCATCTGCATGCACGCCGACTCCTTTCTCTGTAGATTTGATATGCATGACTGATGATCCTCTGTGACTTCTTCTTCTCTCCCTGCTGTCTATAAAGGGTCCAGAGGGACAACGAGGGCCTGCAGGCACAAGAGTGAGTTTGCTTTCTGTCACTGCTTCTCTGCTTCAATTCACTTAACTACACTAGATATCTGTAACTCCAAGAGTCATTTTCTCTTTGCCTCTCAAATTTATTTCTGTCTCTTTCTCTTCGTAAAATTTCCAGGGTGATGCAGGAGAAAGAGGAGCACCTGGAGAGAAGGTTTGCAATCGATCAATGTGACTGCTGTGCACAACACACCTACTGTACTCTGACTGAATCTACTGACCTGTGTAATTTTGTCAAGATTGAAAAAAACGTAAACGATTTTTCGACTTTCTGTTGAGTGACAGATCTTGACTTTATTCCATCGGATTCTGTTCCCCGTACGATGAAGCGCAGAGGGGGAGCAGGAAGCTCTATGGCAAAAAGTTGAATTGAGGCACTTAAACTGTTGGATCACTGTTTTCAGCTGCAAAATAACTATAACATAAGTGTAATCTAATAACTCTGAATCTCTGTGCGATCAGGGAGAGAGGGGAGCATCTGGCCTAGATGGGCGTCCTGGTCTGGATGGTAAACCAGGTGCTGCCGGACCACCTGGACAGAGGGTACCCTATTTTCAGCCACCTTCTACCAAACTGTAAAACCTCCTGTATGTAGAGCCTCTGTGTGCGTAGCTGATAGACCGTATTTGTGCTATCTTCGTTACAGGGTGATCCTGGGAAACAGGGAGACTCTGGGAGAGATGTAAGTTTTCTTGTTCCCGTTAGGCTGTGGTTGTGTTGATGAGATAGAATTAGAACCAATATATAATAGTTATCAGCAACCATTTGGGAATGAATGCTATATTTTTTGTTATTTTCAATTGTTTTGCAAGTTCTTTATACCTGTTTTATTTTCTGACATTGGTCATTTATGATTCTGTATCAAGCACATTTGCAATAGCAGACCATGTGCACTTGATGCGTGTGTGCTGCAGAGGGCACTGTGGAGGTGTTAACATCTAGTTTTTACTCCTGTGGCCAGTTGCATAAGCCAACTGTAGAGAATGATGTCTCCAGGCCAGTCCACTTTCACAGGAAATTATTATGTAATATTGACCATAATAGTGATAAAAGGCCAGAACTGCTCTAAACTTAGAGTTTAGTTAGAGTCTAATTCCTGTCTTCTAGCACAGATACATGGCAGCTCTGCAGCTGCTGATGTACAATAAAATCTAATGTTTTAGAAAATATACAAATGGAAAACATTTAAGCATAAGTACAATTCCTGTGATAATATGTGCTTCAGTTGAAGGTATCTGGGATTCTTTTTTTGAATTAACTGATGGGGAGTTACAGATACATATTTTCATCCCTAACTCACATGGCTATTGGCCATAGACTGTATAAAAGATGGACGTAGCTACCGTGACGTCACCCGCTGGTTTCTGCACTGAGAAAATGAAGCCAGGGTTTTGCTACTTTCTGGTTGACATCTTGGATTTTTGGAGCCAATGATGCAAAAATCGTCGGAGGGGGGCGGAGCCATAGGAGCAGCAATTGGTCAGACGGATTGAGAGGCAGGCCCTCTCTGCCCGCCCACATTTGCTGCCGACTGTCAATCAAGCCAGCCACGCCCCTTGCCCCGCAAAATTTTGACAATTTTTAAAAAATTCAGTATTGATTTATTTTCAGATTGGCCACCTGATCTCTGGATTTAACCATGAAAACTAATAAGAAAAAAATCCTGAGCTGTAGGAATGCGGTATTTCGTGATCTGTGATCACTTCTTTTCCAATTCATTTCTATGAGAGCCAGGGCTTTTTGGAGCCAGCAACTGGTGGACATAGTGATATTGCAGGTTTTTGACACTTCCGTGTTGGCTTCATTTTTCAGGGCCGGTTGCTATGTCCATCTTTTGTACAGTCTATGCTATTGGCCCATTAAATGACCCATGACTCCCATGACTCGCATGCCTTGAGACGAGAGGAATGAATCTACCAAATCACAGATGATATTAATGGTGGTGAAACTGTCTAGGCGGGGAGGTCAAGACTGCATTATAAGCACCTGGTAAGTGGTGTACAATACTATCTCTGTTGAGATGGTTTTCTTTGCTCGTCTCTCCACATCTTTCTTCTGTGTCAGAATAAGAACATTACTGTCCTCGAAAAAATCTCCTGGAAAGGACACATTCTGCACAGAGTAGTCATGTTTTGAGAGGCGTGAAGGAAGACATTTACGTTAAACTGGAGCATCCATTTCTAAATAGAAACAAGGGTCCACAACACCAATTATCAGGAACTTATAATGCAGATTTATCCCCAGAAAGTTTCATCACCATTACCACCTTGAGTCATCCCTGGCAGTTTTCAGCCATTCACTCCTTATAGCACGTCTTCTGTTGTTTAATGGGCCACGAGCTATGTGAGTTGGGGACGAAAACATATATCTGAGCCTCACCAGCAGTCAGTTAGAACTGAGAAAGCCTCTTTAATGAGATGTGAAATGTCTTCAAGCAGCAAGAAAAAACAAGATAAGTTCAGTTGCTTGCTACTGAAGCGCTTAAGATAATCATGACCTGGTTGACTGAGAATCTACACAGACAGATTCCTCAAAAACAAATCTAAACCCTGAAACTGAATCATTCACTGTGATGTGTGTTGGTCTGTTCTACCAGGGATTACCAGGACTAAGAGGGGAGCAGGGTCCCCCTGGGCCTGTTGGGCCTCCAGGCAATTCAGGGACACCTGTGAGTACACACCACTCACACAGAATGTAATATCTGATATCGACATGTCTCTCCTGTAGCCTTATAGATTTCCTTTTCTTCTGTCGTACTGTTTTCAACCATATTTTTCTCAAATGTGTCATGAGCTTTGCTGTTATTTTTCAGGGTAAAGCAGGGGAAGATGGCAAACCTGGACCTGCTGGCAAAATGGTAACGCTGACTATAACATTTCTTAGCTTGTATATTCCGAGAACCTGAATATAATATCCATATTTTCTGATATACTCAACAGTGACATATGGCACATTTTAGTAGTGATGCGAGTGACATATTTTGATATAGATTCTGCCTAGTAAGAGTATGAATATTGTGAGTGATGCATGCTTTTCTCTCTGCATATGTCCGTGTTATACTCCAATTGGTAATGGCCTTGACATACTGTTTCTTGTCAATGATGTTTACTGATCAAAAGCAGTGCAGACATTTATTTCAGGGTCTGCTGCATAATGGCTGTCTTAAGTGAGTCTCTAAAGCAGTGGCACTAAGTGCTCCTGCAGCTGACTGGCCATTATTCAGTTTGTTCCTGTAGAGTTTGTAATGCATTTTGTTTTGACTCACAGGGTGAGGATGGAGTGCCAGGTGAAGATGGAAGAAAGGTCTGTGGCTGTTTATCAGTTTCTCATCCCGCCACTGGCAGAAAGAGTTTTAATCAAGGAGCGTTTTGCAGTTCTACTCAATAGAAGTAATTTCACGGGAACTATAACAAGATTTTTGCAAACAAATTCATGTGAAAAATTGTTTATTTTTGTGATACCCTATTCTAAGAATTGTCATTCAAAATTGCCACTTAAAATGCAGTAACTTCAGACATTATGTTTGAGTTCTTTGATTTTTGCATCTTATGCCTCTTTCAAAAAATACCCCAAAAATTGTGTTACACAATCATGCATTTAGATAGACAGGATTATTTTCTAAAATTGTACTTATTATGTCTATATTTCTTTGGGAGCCTGACGCTGCTGTTTCTAATCTACAGGGTGACAAAGGAGAAGCTGGAGCAGCTGGAAGAGATGTCAGTGTTCCCAAATCTCCTTCATATCATTATTCTTCTAATTTGTTGTGTTTTCAGTTTGTTTCTTCACTATATCCTCTGTGTCTCAATCTGCCCTCCTGCACCATGCTTTCCTGTTTTGATCATGTCTTCTATGACATCTTTCCACGTCAGCTCTCCTCCTTTCTTTTCTCCTCATCACTTTCCCCCTTAAATGTATATTTATCAGCTGTAGTTTGCTCTGACATTGACATCACACTCTCACTCACTGCTGAATCAATAAGCTTCTCAGAAGCAGCTATATAAATTCACTAGCCTCTAATGATCAAGCTTAGCCTTTAAGGGGGAGGCACTTCTGAGAGGAATCCAGAGGGGCGCCAAATGTCAGAGTGCTGTTTTCATGTGCAAATTCATATTAATTATCTCTGGAACATCAGTGGAGGGGTGGCAACGGCCACCTGCTTTGATTTTATAGTTCAGCTTCTCGTACAGTGCAGGAGGAAGCAACCCTGTGTCAAATGAATCTTGGTTTTGTGTATTTCAGGGCCGTGATGGACAGAAAGGAGACCGGGGTCTCACCGGACCTGTAGGCCCCACTGGTCCCCAGGGAACTCCTGGAGTGCCTGGCAGCATTGGTCCTCCTGGACAGGTGCACATGGTGTAAACATCTAAAAAATAGCATGGGTCATTTGTTGTTTTTAATCAAACATTCTCTGGCGCTGTCTCTCAGGTTGTGTTTGTAAAAGGAGTCGAAGCAGCACCGATCCCAGGTCCTCAGGGGCCTCCAGGAACACCTGTGAGTGTGCACAACTTCTCTGCATTCTGATGTGTTTTTAATTACATTCTTGAAAGGCATATTACATGTTAACATTTTCTGCTTCATTTTCTGCCTTTTTCTGAAATGAAATTGTACATGTCAAGGCTCCAGACAAGCTTTTTACTTTGATAGTGCACCAGCATTTAAGTTCGATGCACCCGAAAATTTTAACTGCACATTTTGGCATCAAATATTCAAGAATTCAATCATTTGTTGTCATGCAGCAACAAAGAAAGTATCAGTGCAATGCAATTCTTTGTTTACTGTGTCTGTTGATCACTATTAATGGTGCAAAAAAGTTAAGATCTGCTTTTACGTACTGAGGTAGGCAATGTTATAAAACAGTACAGTGCAAAAAGGGCATCTGCAGAAGAAATTGTGTTTAAAAAAAAAAAAAAAAGGTAACGTGTGCAAAAAGGTACAGAAGTGAAAGATTACATTAAGTCCTTACAAGTTATCGATTTAGTCCCTAAACAAAATTTAAGTCTGACTCAGATGTGTCTCGTCCATCACAGGACTTAAACCCTGGTGTTCTGAGTAAAAGTCTGAAGTCTGGCTACATTTTCTACAATGTCAACATTTAAAGTGCTTTTTTTTGTCATTTCCATAAACATTTGTAATTTCTTGGGCCATTTTGTAAAGATTGTAAACAGAAGTAAAGGTGCAGATAAATGTTTTACAGATTCAACCTGTTATTTTTCATGGGGATGATCTGGGACTTACAGTTAGTAAAAGCCAGCTCTTCTTTGTTTGTATTCTAAGCAGTGGTAAATACTGTTGTCAGCTTTGACTCCTCACTGCTTGGGTTTGCTGCTGCCTGGTGCTGAAACGCTGCGGGGAAGGTAGCTGCACCTGTCACGGCGCAGGACGAGCTTCGTGTGTTTTCAAAATTTCACTTTGGCGCATAGACGCTGCATGTTTTCAGAAAAGTATGACTCTTTTTGCCTATTATGACAGGAAAGAGCATTTAACAGACACATCAGCCACAGAGCAAAACACATTATTTCCTCGATGCATTTAGCGCTTGTGTGGTCTTGTTTTCCTCTGCAGCATCACCCTTCCACACTAAGTAGCAGTGATGTGTGTTTTATCTAAACTTATTTCTGTATGCTAGTGCATCCCTCCCTCCCACAGCGTCTTGTTTTTATTGTCTTTGCTCTGTCCTTCAGGGTGTCCCTGGAATCCCAGGAGCTGTAGGAGGCAGAGTAAGTCGTAGTTGTCTTTGCTGACCTCAGTTTGCTTCAGATCAGTAACCACCAAACTTTATTTTGACCGTCTCGTTTGTTCCAGGGGGAAAGAGGTCAACCTGGCCTTAAAGGTGACGCTGTAAGTTAAACTTTCATCCCTATTGTAGTGGGAGCGAGACACTCAGGTTTCCTGTGTTTTTTGTTAAAAACCTTGATTTCCTGTTATTGGTAGGGAGACCCAGGCGAGGACGGGGCACCAGGAAAACCAGGAACAGCAGTGGTAAGACGTCAACACATCGTCTGCCGTGAATTCTGTCACTGTCCATATTTTTATTTTCTTCATCTGTGTTTAATGATGCTTGTTTTTTACCACCACCTCTCATTAGGATGTCCAAAAAGCTCTGGCAGGCTTTGGTATTCGGGTATGTATTCAGGCTTCACATAATTCTGATTTTATGTATTATTTGTCTAGAAAGGCTCCTACTTTCTCCTGTGTCATGTAAAGACAAGTATTGGTTTTGAACATGGTTGTCCTTTTTTGAGATAAAGATGTCTTTCAGGTTTAATGGATGGTTGGATAGATAGAGAGAAGCATAGACAGATGATAAGATGCTGTAGGTAGATGGATAGATTTAATTCTTTCTCATGCATTATGGCTATATGGATAACGCTTACAGCATAATGGTCTAGTTAATGGCTATTCTTCTAGAACTTGTGCAAAGTGTTGTAGCTGTCCAGTTCTCCTTGTAAATGTCACCACACCATTTACAGCTGTTCATTTCTTTGTTCTGGCTTAAAGAGCACAATTAGTCTGAAAATAACAATGTCGTCAATCCAGTAAAAGGGATTACAGAGCTGCTATGGTCAAATGTAGGACTGGTTCTTACATACCAACTTACTTCAAAGTTTCTGCCCAAACATATTTTAACTTGTCCATCAGACCTTACAATTTTGGACTCAGCAGATGAAAGTCACACAAAAGGCATTGATTAGGAGCTATTTTAAAGCTGCAGAAATGATTTTCTTCCAACAGACCATCACTCTGATGAATAATAGTGGTGGTGAAGCTTTGTGGGGAGAGATCTTAAGACTGCATTATAAGTACCTGATAATTGGTGCTGTGGGCCTTCTTTTCTATTTAGAGATGGACATTCCAGTTTATCACAGATATCTCCCCTTACTTCTCTTAAAACACCTGTTGCATCCCAGCTCTTAAACACTATATATGCTGTAGGAACTGCATATCCTTACCTGTTTGTATTGTATCTCAACTAAACTGCTCTCTGTTCTGTTGCACAGTTGTCAAACTATTTGTTTAGACGGTATCAATAACGCTGCATTTATTGTTAATAACTTTATTTTGAAGTGCTCATTTTCCTCTTTTGCTCTTCATTCCCCTTATTTAAATACATGTGTTTTGTGTGAAGTTTATGTACGTATTTTGATAACAAACAAACAAAAAACAGTCCTTGTATGTACACATACTTGCCTGGGAAGCTGATTCTGATTGTTTCTAAACACCTGAAATTTATCTGCAGGCATCTGCTGCTATAAGTTTTGAAACGCCTCCATTCCTAATTTCTGTCCTCCATGCAGGTGTCTGATCTGAAGGTGGTTGTGGACAGGAAGGATGCACTCGTGGCTGCTCCAGCGCAAAAGCCAGAGAAAGGTGAAAAGGGGGATAGAGGTGAAGCTGGACAGAGAGGACCATCTGGTGCAGATGTAAGTGTGACTAAGAGCCTCTTGGAGGATAAAAATAGAAAGATTTGATGAAGGCTTCATCGCAAGTCCAGATAGAAAACTTTTTTTAGATTTTACTATTTATGTACTATATTAAAAACCTTCATTTTCTTTTGTGCATCAGGGCGCTCGTGGTTTTCCAGGAGAGAGAGGATCCAAAGGAGACCAAGGGGAGCGAGGAACGGCAGGAGCACCTGGGCCTATGGGAAGAGCCATTGGGGAACGAGGGCCAGAGGGACCCCCGGGGCCTGCTGGAGAGCCAGGCAAGCCTGGAATACCAGGAGTTCCTGGGCGAGCTGGGGAACTGGGGGAGGCTGGAAGACCTGGAGAAAAGGTGCAGAGGAGAGTTGGATGAAAAACAAATTTATCATGGACTCATCATCACTCTAACATGCATATCTGTGTTTCAGGGGGAGAGAGGAGAAAGAGGTGACAAAGGAGATGCTGTAAGTGATTATGTTTGATTGATGTTGTTCACTTTTGTGTTTCAGTAAAACATTTTTACAGTCAGCTGAGAATTTCTTTTGTCAATCAGGGTAAAATTGGATTAACAGGACCAGCCGGCCCACCAGGTCAAAAGGTGAATTCCCTGTAGTTACTAGTGTGGATGTATTATAAACCTTGTGATACAATATTTAGTAAATGCAGAATAAGATTGGATTTTAAAGACATCTGTGTACATATGTACGGTAGGGAGCATCCGCTGACTCAGTGCTGGTTGGTTCACCTGGTGCCAGAGGCCTTCCAGGACTTGCAGGCCAGAAAGGAGAACCTGGTGCTGGAGGACTAACAGGACCCAAAGGAGACAGAGTAATATTTACACATAGTACAAAATCACACATCAGTAGCATGCCATGTGTCTTTTGATACAAATAATCCATTTATTGTTGCCTTACAGGGTTTTGTGGGGCCTCAAGGTAACAAAGGAGACAGAGGAGAGGCTGGAGAAAAAGGACGCGATGGCTCACCGGTGAGATGACTTTCAGATGAGTCACAAATTAGAAAATTGTAATTGTTATGAACTCCTTAAGGAAAATCGGTTTGCTGCTACAAACCTTTCTTCTTTAAAGGACACTGACATTTTGGAAAATACATTTATTTTTTTCCTCAAAAATTTGTTGCGCGTATTGGAACTTTGTAGTTCAGTTGCATTCGTTAATTTAGGGGCACCACCTCAGTTTTCTGAGGAATTATTTTAAATGAAATCTTAAAGAGACTTTATTTGAAATTATGTTGATCAGTCTGTTATCTAAAAGTCGTTAATTCTGATTGAATTGACCTCAGTTCCCACACAAAGAAAGACACAAAACCGTGAACTGGTCTGAATAAGAAGTGTTTATTAGCTATTCTACTGTTATGTTACATGTGAACTATAAACAATAAAATTGGAGTGTGTGTAGTATACGTGTTATTTTAGATTACCCAGCCAAATAAAGAGGATTATGGTAAGAGCAGGATGGTTAACAAACGATCTAATGATGGTGATTAATAATTTGGTTTATGATGGATACGGTTGTGGGCTGTTAAATGGTTATAACATCAACCCGATCAGGAGCAGGTAGAAAGGTTGGCTTTGCCTACTTTGTGCAGCGCTGATGGAACGGAGTCTCTTTTGGCTGGAAAAGCTGTTGGCGAATTGGCACCTTTTACTACGTATCCAGGCTGTTTCCTACTGGAGCGTTGTGAAGTTGCTTGGCAAAGAGTTCTGCCGTGGAGCTCTCAGGGGCGCAGCGTCGGAGGCCCATCAGCAGGATTCCAACGTCGGCACACAGCGGCGGTTCTGTTGTTCGGCAGCCAGCGTCCCGTGCATGGTGTGCTCGCCCCTCAGGGTTGATGAAAAATTATTTTACTGTTAACGGTGACTCTTGTTGTGCTTTTGGCCACGTTTGGTAGTAGCCGAAAACAGAAAAAGAAGTTCTGGAAACTAATACTGTGTTCACACCAGACGTGAGTAAAATCATTCGCGCAAATGATTTACGTGTAAAGTCAATGTGAAGATGCGAGTAAAAGTCCCGCGGCACACTGATCGCGAGATTAGTGCAGTGCTAATTACACGAATCGAGCGAGTTATTCGCGCGAATGACACGATTCTAGTCGCATTAAACGTGCGTATGACGCAAATTCGCGTTGGACCTGCAAGTTGTAAAATCTGAACTCTAGCGATCTTTCACACTGTGATGGCCAATCAGCGTTGAGATTCTCTGGTGACGTCAAGAACATAATTCATTCAATTTTTTGAAACTACACCGAGAATATTGATTGTGGAGCAGAAAAAACATCACTCTATCCCAGTGAGCGCCTGTAGTTGGTGTCCTGGAGGGATATTCTGGTACTGATCCTCTCCAACGAGTCGTCAAACTGGGTCCAGGTCAGCCGAAAATACCGCTGGAAGCGGCCGTCATCCAGGTGAAGCTACTGGAGAAGGTGGTGGAATTCCCCGAGCTCTGTGTGTCTCTGGAGGATCCGATGGACCCAGACAAGGCGGCGTCTGGATTCGCGTCATTTGCGCGAATTACACAAATTTAGACACGAATCTCTCCGCGTTTAACACACGAAAGATGCGAATTGTTCGCGCAAATGACGCAAGTGAACTTAGTGCATACATGCGACTAATTACGCGCAAATCGCACAATGAATTTGCTTTTGGTGTGAACACAGCATAAGAGCGAAGGCATAGTTTAATTGATCCGTTACAAAAATCTAATTTCTGCTGGTTCTTGTCGTACACAAACTTAATTCTATGGGCTTCCAAAGTGACATTGTGAGAGGGAGGACAAATTTTCTTACATTTTGATGTAAAAATGATGTCTGTGGCATAAAAATTGTGGCCAAGGCGACAAGTTAAAAAAAGATTTACTGTGTGATTTTTCTCTGAGCTCCCACTCTGATGAAGTCATCACTCACTCTGAAGGACCACATACACACCCATTGTAAAGGCTGAAAAGGTCTTATTAGTGCCTCGTGCTCAGCCCGTGGCACTAATAAGAAAAAAATACAGATATAGTAGAGGTATAGTAAACGCAATGTACAATGATGAATTTACACATGTACAGATATGATATGATGAGTATGCATATAGGTGTTGCGAAACTTGAATCCGTCTTTTTGAGAAGGCTGTTGTACACTGTGGTATCAAGATGGAAATGCTCATTAAGGCGCTGACTGACTGTCTTGCTCAGGGTGTGACTTCTAGCATATGGAAAACACTAATTGGACATGCTAACAAGAAAGAAAGAAAGAAAGAAGAAGAAAAAAAACTTTTACCAGACAGAGATTTTAGCTCGTTATATGCAAAATCTAAAGCCCAGAAATTCCAATCTGTTATGTCTTACTTATGTTGTGCCAATTCACAACAAACGTAATCTCAGAACACTTCATGTATTAAGGTCAAGATCTCACAATATTATAGAGACACTCAGCAAATCCAAAGATTGCCTTGCCGACAGTGGAAAGAAAAAAAAAGACTGTTGAGCAGAACCAGGCTCAGGGAGGGTCAAGGATAACGGTGAAAAACAGTCAACAAACACTAGAACAGCAAACACTGGGCAGGTTGGTGAGACCATTACATGCACATGAGACATATGTAGCTCCAGAGCCAGAGGTGCCTGCAGCAAGTTACAGGGAGAGAGAGCACATGAAGCTCAGGACATGCAATAGTGGCAAATAAATGCATGAAGATTGAGAGAGATGAGAGGAGAGTTGCTCAGTGCATCATGGGAAGTCCTCCAGCAGTCCAGGCCTGTAGCAGCATAACTGAGGGATAGTTCAGCCAGCTTTATTTATTAGCTTTATCAGAAAGGGAAGTTTTAGGTCTAATCTTAGATCGAGGGTGTCGGCCTCCTGAAGCCAAACTGGGAGCCGATTCCAAAGCAGAGGAACCTTGTAGCGGAAGGATCTGCTTCTACTTTTGTAAACTCTAAGAACTTCAATCATGTCTGCACTCTGAGAGCGAGGTGCTCGATTGAGATAATATGGATAAAATGAGTTCTTAAGATATGATAGATTCCTTTAATAGATTATAGAGCTTGGTCACTAAGGGCTTTGTCAGTGAGAAGAAGGATTTTAAAATCTATTCTGGATTTTACAGAGTTAAAGAGAAGCTAATATGGGAGAAATATGATCTTTGCTGTCAGCACTCTGGTTGGATCAGCTGGTGGTTTTTCAGAGAGTTATCCTGATAGTAGGGAGTTACAGCTTAGAATTACCATGTGTGTCAGCTGGCTTTTCAAGTGATGACTTGTCTTTTTATGTGCTGATCTTCTCAACTGTACAACTGTTGCTTTAATGTTAAAAATGTGATCTGTGATTCCAGGGAATACCAGGAGAACCTGGAAAATCTGGTCAGGATGGAAAACCGGTAAGTTTTCGTTCTAAAGGTAAAATTGATATTTCAAACTTTACATTTTCATGAAGAGCATAATTTTGTAATGATTTGTGTAAATATGGAGTGAACAGTTATTTCAGCAGACTTGGTAAGTATGTTTTTTTTTCTTATGAAAGCTCATCATGTATAGGTGGTGATATAATCTGCTAGTTAGCTCCATATTTATTTGTATCGATTAACTTTTTTGCGCTATTTGATCGTAAGGCTATTAATCCACAGAGATACTGCAAATGTTTACCTTTTAGAAAGCATTACAACAGAATATTTTCAGGTCCCATCACAGGACACGAAAGTTTTGTCTTTTTCTTTACCGTATAATTCCCTTGATCACTTGAAGCCCAAACACATGATTCTGTAAATCACGATTGCTTGTGTGGGTGTAGTTAAATGTAAGGAGAAGAGGAGAGATATGAAGCACTTCCTCATGCTCTTTATTTTCCTTCCCTAAATGTCGAAGCAGGGTACAACAGGGCCTGCTGGTCCTCGAGGCCAACCAGTGAGTAACCAGTAACCCAGTCTGCTTTTAGGCTTGAACTACACAGATAAATTACTGGGTCGGCTGCAAGCACGAAGCCAATGGAGCTCCTTTTTTTCCCCCTCCTTGGGCCGAGGCTTCATAGATTCTTGAACAATAGGCTTTTGCTGTGCGGCTAACACCTCACTCTCTAACTGTCTCTCTCTCCTCATATGTGTCTTATCTCTGTCCGTTTCCTTTTCTATGTTGTTTGTTTCCCCACTTCCAACCCTGCCCCTCCCCACACCCTCCTGTCATCCACTTCCCTTTGACTTTCATCCTCTCTAGGGCTTGCCTGGGTTCCCAGGAGTTCTAGGCAGACCGGTAGGTTCTCTGCTGCTGGCTGGCATGCTTGAGCTCTGGAGGAGGGAGGGTTGGGACCTGTCCCTGTGATATCAGATACAAGTGGGAGTGGACCAAAGTCGAAGTGATGCGAGTGGGCTATAGCTTAGACAGTAGGTAGCTTAACAGACGTATCTGGATTTAACAACAGGAGAACAACTTATCAAAATGCACACGCTGTCATGTACCTCCCAGGCAAATTTCACTGCTTTAATCTTAATTCATTTGTATTGGAAGCATCCATCTACAACCCCAATCAGTTCCCCGTGAAATATCCCCAAAGCATCCGTGTCAAGAGCTGAAGTTCGAAGTGAAATTTTAAACGTGTAAAACACCACAAATTCATTGGGGGAGATGAAAGGAAGTCGACTGACAACCCGAGCTGGGGCTCTCGCCAGGATCCAGTGCACAATAGTGGGGGGGATATTAAATTGGGTGGACTCCAAAAAGCACTGTTGTCGATTCGCTTGAGTCTGCTTATCGTGCATGCAGCTGTGCCTGGTGTCTGTTGTGTGCTTATCCCTTGCACAGCGCTGATTTTTATTTTTTTTTCAGAGCTTACCATGCAAGTGTCTCTTTGTTGACATTGTTGATCCTCTGTTTGTGTTGTCCTACCTGTTGTCATGAGTCAGTCACACGTTCATGTGTTTGTATATTAATGTTTCCTAGAGTGAAGCTCCTGTCAAACTGTCTTGTCTGTGTATGACAATATTTTTGTCATAATTCCGTGTCGCCCATTGTTGAATATACAAAAAAATACATACATGTTTAAGTGCTTAGTTTTTTTTAAACATGTTTGTGCATAAATATGTTACTTTAAGGGATAGTTTTACATTTTTGGAAATGTCAAGCAGTTATCAACTTTCTTTCCAAGAGTTAGATGAAAAGGTCACCATCATGTGTTTGTTACATAAGAAGTTACTGCCTACAGCCACTTGGCTTAGCTGTCAGACGGTAAAAACATCCACTTTTCTAAACCTCACAAATTAACACATAATACCTAATTAGTTTAATCTGTACAGACTTACATGTCACAACAACTTATAGTGGTTTTTTGGAGGAGTCATAAGCAGAACTGTTACCTGCATACATCCTGGAGTTTTGTTATCTTTGTAAGATTGCCATCAGAGGAAAGTCCAGGCAGGAATTTATATTTAAGGACAAACACATCAGGGGTGTCCTCACCTAACTCTGAGCAAGGAAGCCAGTGAGCTTTTCCAAAATGGTCCTTTAAAATGTGGCCTGTGTACAGCTTGAGCTTTCTTTTTCTCCTCTTCTTTTGTTGTATACTACATTTGGCTATATTTTGCTTATAGGGAAACCCAGGAGAGCCTGGCATTAGAGGCCCTACTGTAAGTATGAAACGCATAATAGAGTATGCATACACATTCACAGACTGTTAGTAATGATGAACAGCTGCAGTTTACATGTCGATGACATGTTTTAATCAGGGTCCCATGGGTCCAAATGGACTGCCAGGTCCACCAGGTGTGAAGGTGAGTTCACGACATCTCAGTGTGCTGCCAGTTAGCACACGTTCAAATTCTTTTGTTGCTTGCAGACGAAACTCATAAAAAGTTTGTTTTTTACAGGGTAATCAAGGAGAAGCAGGAATTGGTGTCCAGGTAAAATGACAACAGTAGTATTTTAAATCTTTTTGACAAGAATTTCCCTTAGACCCACTCATATAACAGTGGAGCTGTACAACAGATATGCAATCTGTGAGCTTGTTCCTCCTCTCTGCAGGGTCCTCCGGGTGCCCAGGGGAGCACAGGTCTGCCAGGACCAGCAGGCCCTCCAGGAGCCATAGTACGTGTTCCCATAAATCACATCGTCTCCTCAGGGAAAACTGCTTTCATGTTTTCCTCATGAAATTCACTGAAAACCTCATGGTGTGTATCAGAATGTGTTCCTTCATACCAGTGTATTTATTTTCCCCTGCAGGGTCCACAGGGCCCCCCAGGACTGTCAGGACAGGTGGTGAGTATACAACCCTAATGTTGCTGCTGCTGCTGCTGCACTGTGGAGCACAGCGAGGGAATGTAAAATTGACGAAATGTTTTGACCCTGAGGCATTTCAGTTGTAACAGAAAATAGGAAGGTAATTAAATAAAAATGCCAAAACATCTACCAAGCTTTTGTTGATAAATGGCAACTTCCCCTACATTTTGTGCTTCTCTTGTTGCAGGCTTCACAGCATGTATACCCCATATCTACTTTTTATTAGGAGACACCTCTACAACCAACATTTCTACCACTATTTCTTTGTTGTTCACTGTGACCTATTATGCAATTTGTTGCCTGGTTGTGCAATAAGACCTCACTATATTAGAACAAATATATTAGTAGAACTGGTGAGGATCTAACAATTAAGGTGAGACTTTTGCAGTGAAAAGAACGGAAACTTCAGCTTTCAGAAAATGTGACAAACAAAATAACTAACTACATTACTTTTGACAAAAATTAGCATTTTGTGTGATATTCACACCTTTTTTCCCACCAACACTGATTGTTTTTTCATGTGTAGTGTTCCAGGTATGTTGGACATAAAGTTGAAATATTACTTGTAACAAAGTTTGTCCTGCTCCTCAGGGTGAAGCAGGTAAACCGGGGGTCCCTGGAAGAGATGGGGTCCCTGGCAAAGAAGGAATACCCGGATTACCAGGAAAGCAGGTAGGTGTGTGTGTGTGTGTGTGTGTGTCTCAGCGTGTGCTGCTGTTTATGTTGTGTTGTGTGTACATGTGGCATGCACTGTGTCGTTTCTATTAAGTCCTCCTCAGTGGTAACATTGTGCAATTTCTTCCTCAGGGCATTTCTGGACCTTCAGGCCAGGCCGGCTTAAAGGGAGAGCAGGGAGATAGCGGCCCTCCAGGGAAGGTGAGAACACGCCATATCTACTGAGCGGCCTCTGGCTAAAGGGACCGTTAACGCAGTTTGCTTTGTGACTTTTTTGGATGTGATCCCGGCCACAGAATGATTTGCTATATAAAGTCATAAAACATTTCTGTGTTGCTCTTTCTAGTAAGAGTTTTCATCTGATGCACAGCACTAGGTGGTCCCTAATCCAAATCTTCCTTCAAGGGCCGCAGGCAGACAGCTGTTGCCTTTACGCCAAATGGTGCTTCAGATAAATTCCCCTACAATTTCCACTCCTCTTAAAGTTGTCCAGGAGTCCCACTGTTTGGGGTTTATACGTTGCAGCGAGCTGACACTACAAACTCTGATGTTCGAACGCTGATAAAGCTTAGTTGGCTGCAGCAGGGTGAGCTGTAGTCAGTAATAGGGCAAGAACTGCAAAACAGAAAGAAACTAAATCTTCCACTCTTGTCTGGAGTCATTACACTGCTGGGGCAATGCAGCAGTTGTGGGTTATTCAGCCTGGAAATTGCGATAAGCAAAGTTAAACACTTTCACATAGCTGTGTGATGGAGTTAACTGTGGCCCTGCTCTCATTCTGCCTCTGTATATTCAAATGATGGGCTCAGAGAGGCACTTCTAACCTGAGGAATGTTTATCTGTGAATTTATAATCCATGTCCATGTGGTTGCACAGGTACTGCTGCTACCGGGGCTGTTGGAAGTGACATCTTTTGAGAATATTTGATCTTGATCAGTTTCTCTCATTGTTTGTGTACTATGCCTTCTTCACAGTATATAATGTGTTTAGTCAATATTTTATAGCAAATATCCAGCATAACCATCCTTGCAAATTGGAGAGTATTCTGAGGTGGGATTTAGTGGTAATATGAGAAGTTCATCTTCCTGTGCAGCTGTCTCAGTGGTATTTCTCTGTTACATGACTGTTATTGATTGACATTCAAAGAACAAATTCTCTGGCACTAGCTTAGCGAGTAAAATGAGTTTTCACACGTCTGTTGCAGACAGAGATTATCTTTTGCAGTACAGCCGTGGATTTTTTTGAAAATTGTAGCTAAATTGGGGAAAACCCTGTGGAGGCCTCCCTCTCTAAAAATGAAAAAGGGGCCAACCATGAATATGAATTTCAGCTAAACCCATGCATAAATTTATGGATAATTGCCCTGAGTGTTCTATTAAGCACTCTGCCAGCCTGTCAATCTGCAAATAGCACAGCCTTCTCTAGATTGTCTTGTGTTAGTTCATTTTAGGTTGTTTTGGATGAGGTGTAAACAGCATCCACAATGTCCCAGGGCAGAGAACTTTCTGGACACATACAATCCACTTCTCTATCATCTCAAGACTATCTCTCCACCCAGTTACATATTTCATATGTATGGGGACTGACCCCCTGGATACATGGATACTTCTTTATGAAGCACCTGTGCTGGTGTGAATTCACTGATAGTTTTGATCTAAAAGTATCTCCAAGCAGTCAAAAGAGGTGGAGGGATAGTGTCTTTACTCAGTGAACCAAGGTTGCAATGTAACCATACATTCTTTGGTTGTTGATCCACATGTTTTGGGTTTGCTTGTACAATCCAGCACCCTGAATTCTTCTGTATATCTCTGCTTGTATCCTGTTGCTTCTGTCAGCAGTGAAATCATTCATAAATGGCATTCTGTCAGTTCCATTGGCAGCCATACATGCATACGTGCCCAGGCTACAACAGAATTGCCATGTTTGACAGATGCTGTCAGATGCTTTGGGCCATGAACTGTTCTCTCTCCAGACTTTCCATCACTTTGGTAGAGGTTGATTTGTGTTCTATTGCTTCATAGATCTTTTTCCCACAACTGTACTGTTTAGGGTTTCTGTCATATGTTTTTGTGAACTGAAACCTGAGGGCTTTATTACAAAGCAAGTTTGAAATAGCAAGGCATTCTTTTCATTCGCTGGCTCAACAAAACCTAAAACCTCCATTACAACAGCAGCTATGAACTGTCTTTGTTAACCAGACTTTAGAATCTGCGTGCCCTATAAAAGGAGTGTTTGACGCATCATTTGACTCTTCCTCTGCACAAATGGGCCGATGGCGTGCCGCCTATTTCAGTGAGGAAAAACAGGTTGTTATAATGGAGAGCTTTGAAGAACATGAAAAATTTAATATGGCTGAAAGCACCGGTACTGCAAATACGGCAAGAGAAGAATGCTGGTAGAAAATGGTTAATCGTGCAAGTTGATGTATTTATTTTACCACTTTAATGCCTGCTACTTATTTTTAACATCACAGCTGCGCATTAGAGCACTTAAAATTTTAAATTCATACATTTAAACATGCTACTCAAGAAGTGCATTTAGGTCTTACAGTGTGTCATATAATAGCAGATGTGGAAATCACTTCAGTTTTTGGCCAAATCAAAGTAAAGTAAACATTATTAATTGAATACTTTCTGTACTAAATACCAAAAGACTAATCAGTTGTCTAAGCTGTAATCCCGGCAAGGAAAAACAGACTTGACGGCAAATCGGCACCAGTTATGAAAACATATTTATGCATCTTCCACATCACTAACTGAATGAATTTAGGTTCTCATGGCAACATGAGGCTGCTGTACCTTCAGGCTTCGATCAGCAGCATTACCAACATACAGCTCGCCATGTTCACAAATATACATTTTTCCATCAACTGAGAGTCTGTATTGCTCATAGAATATACCGTCATGAAAAGAAAGAATGAAAGGGTGGTCCTTCTTACAGCCAATTTAAATCCAAAACTCTGAACAGAACTTCGTCCAGAGTGGGTTGGGTGTGTAGCATAAGTTACCATGGTGATATGGCAGGTTAATGGAGAGCCACCTTCAGGATATTGGAAAACTCTGAGTTTAGGCTCAACATACCTCTCTAACCCATTAGTCTCGCTTTGTAGTACAAAACTGTTACCTTTCTGTGACAGAGAGTAACAGGAGTTTACATCTTGTTGTGAATCTTCTGAGGTTCTGGTCATAAAGTCTTTTAATTGTTTAGCAACAAGTGCACGTACATCCCAGAGAGCAAGATGAAGGTGTTTTTCTCTGTGTTCCAGTTCATCTGCTTTAGCCTCTCCTAATAAGTTGTGATCATACACAAAAATGTCTGGTGTGAATTCAAAAAGCAGAGTGAACTGGATGTTCTAGTTAACTGCTGCCACATTGGAGTCAAGACATCCATGACTTAAACATTTGTTAATTATTGCTTAAATTGACAAAAGACCCGTGGGTATACTAATTACTAAATGTCCACATTACAAGAAGTCCCACCTCTGCTCAACTGCAATTTGCCTGTGTTATTTGGCCCCTCAAATGAAAACCATCTCACCCTTGACACTGGGATATTATTTCCTCCTTATAGTTGACTGTATTGGATTGACTGCAGACATCTGTTAATCAGGACTGGCTTGGCTTGGCAAAACTTGTGCCAGTTCTGCCAACTAGAATCTCAATTATGCCAAAATTCAGCTCAGTAGGACTGAAAATGACAGAGAAGGTCAGTTACATAACGTTCTCTGTACAAGGCTCATCACATCGGCCCAAACAGTTTCCATGCTGTCATTTTCTCTGCTTTACTTTATATTAGAGGTGGTTTGATGCAGTGTTTTTATTTATGCTGCAGATAAAACAGCTGTGTATTTGTAGATACCAACCCCAATCTGCTTTATGTTATCACACAGCCTTTTGTTAAAGTGCTACTGTCTTTCCTTCCACTGCCAACACAGCAGATTTTGCTTTGTCTGAGCAGCAAGCCATCAAACTTTTTAGGTTTTTTAGCCTGGAGCGGTGCTTTTTATAATGCAAAGCAGGTCCATCAGGTCTGCTGCCAGATTTTATAATGACCTACAGTAGCACCCCCATTTACTTGCTGTTTACGCTCAGCTGCAGTGTTTTCTGAGCCGTGGAATTTAGCGACTCTTCCTGCACAGATGTGGAACAGCTATTTCAGAGATGAAATGTCAGTTTAGCAACATGTTGCAAGGCTCGAGCTGTTCGGTTTAGGATCCAAAGCACACATTTTTTTTAACCACTTAAAAGAGGCATCTGCAACAAAAACAAACCTCAGCATTTACTCTATGGGCTTTGCTTTGTTAGCATCTGGAGCGACTCTCTCTCACATCTTTATTGCTTCCAGTCATCCTTGTTGCTCAAACACATGTACTGCTTGGAAATGTATGCATGTAAAACATCAAATATTCCTTTACATGATGACTGTGTAATCAAATGTACAGAGCAGATGGCTGCTCTCATGTTCACACGCTGCACTAGAGAAGCTAATGTGATGCAGTGCTGCTATTTCCTGCTTCTTTCCTTTTAAAGTTTAACTTTACAAGTATTTATATAATATTTCAGTGAATGTGTCTCTGTCGTTCATATCTAAATATAAATCTCTCTAAAATGTGATCATGTATTTGTGGTTAGTAACAGGGATGCTGATTGCAAACCACAAAATTTTCATGTTCTTAGCTGACACACCAATCTCCTATTTATGGCAACGAGTATATATTTAGTAACCGATACACCTCCAGATGTACATGGTCTGTTGAGCTATTCAGTGGCAAAAGGAAAGAGAAATATGAAAGTGCCATATTTTACATTAAGATGCAGCAGCAGCATATTTGAGTATGTTTATGAATACTCAAATAAAGAGGTATGATAAGAGATTCAACACATGACTAGTTCTTGAACACAGTTACTAAATTATAAGATCGTTTTGAAACATCAGTACCAGCTGTGTGTTTTTCCATTTGGGCTGTAGGAGTTCAAAAACTTGTAATCTGAGGTTCCTATTTTGAAACTTGCTTGAGTTATTTAAAGGTGTATTATAATTATATATGTAGTACACAATAAACATTTTTTTTATTGTGTGCTTGTCAGTAGTAAAGCTTACATTTATAGAAAAGATTCTGAAATACTTACATTTTCCAACAAGCTTGTGTTGCTATGAATTCATAAAATTCTGTGGCACGTAGAGCCCTGCAGAAGATGCATTTACAGTGAGAAACGACAAGTACAAGAACATGTATTAATAGATTCTCTTTCATTCTGTTCTGGATGCAATATTTAACTCATTATTGTCTGGAGCTCCTTCTTTGCCAGAGTTGTGTTTTGTTGTCTGCAGAAAAAGACAGACATTGTCTGTCGGTCGGTTGCTCACTATTCAGCACCGGTGCTGCTGTTTGTAATGTTGACACGAATCGTGACGAGTGTCTCGAACAGCTTCCCCACCGCTGACAGCCTCAGGTTCAGCACCTCGGACAGAGTCACTGTGACACTGTCAGCGAGTTCAGCAGTTTGATAAATAACCAGGCAACACTTTTCCATCTGCTCAGGATCGCTTGCCACCATTTGTCGTCACACATGCACAAACACATTCCCATCACTTCAGAGGACATTACACTGACTTACATTCATTCCTGGGATACTTATTCTAATCATAACCGTGACTACTACTTTCTTTACCCTACAATTTATCCTGTTCTTCACCTGAACCTAACCCTTCTCTAAACTCTTAACACAATGTGACTGTGTAAACACCCTTATGTCCCCACAACATACTTAATACAGGTACACATACTGTCACAAAAATGGAGGTACTTTGAGGACAGAGATGTTTCTAAAATACAGCTTCAAGCATTTTGTGGTGTTGGTTTGTCAGAGTCCAAGAGGTTGGGGCTGCTTCTTTGCTTCATTTGTCAAGACAGGACAGAAAAACGTTTGGACACTGAGAACAGACTTGATCAAAAGATAACTATTGAATAGGAATATTGGCCTTTTTTAAATTAATGCCAATAACCCAGTGTCAGTTGCAGAGTACCATTCAATAGATATGTGACTCATACAAGACTCGTGTTTCCTAAACAAGTGGGTGTTAGACTTTTGCCAGGAAAGTTTCAGAGATTTTGAGACTCAGCTTTTGGACTCAATATAGTGCAGTGGCTAAACATCCATCCATCCATCCATCCATCCATCCATTATCTGTACATCGCTTAATCCTCACTAGGGTCGTGGGGGGCTGGAGTCTATCCCAGGTGACTAAGGGTGAAGGCAGGGGACACCCTGGACAGGTCACCAGTCTATCACAGGGCTACACTTAGAGACAGACAACCAAGCACACTCACATTCACACCTACGGACAATTTAGAATCACCAATTAACCTCAACATGTGTTTGGACTGGGGGAGGAAGCTAGAGAACCCAGAGAGAACCCACGCTGCATGGGGAGAACATGCAAACTCAGTGGCTAAACAGTGAGAGTGTATTTATTTACTGTCACTTTAGAGAACATTCAGGCTCTTTATGTTCAAGAGCTAGAAAATATACTGACTGGGATGATTGGTGTAAAAAAACATAAATAAATAAATGCTCTTTGTGCTACACATTACTTATATTTTCTCCATTTTTTTCTCTTACAGTCTGTGGCTGGACCCCCCGGACCCAAAGGAGAAAGGGTGAGTCACCGTTATTAGCTGTTTCTGCTTTGACAAAGTAGAATAGAGTTGCTGAATGCAGCTGACAGTACTCTCCTGATTCTGATTGATGCAGGGTCTTCCTGGTCAAACACTGCCAGGCATAGCTGGAGAGAGAGGTCTGCCTGGTGAAAAGGTGAGTCCGACTGAACCACAGGCTCTCTCTCATTCTGTAGCACACACCAGGCTGATAATGTTAAGTGCCTTTTTATTAAAATTGTATGACTGACTGTGTGACTACTGTCATTCAGGGCAACAGGGGAGACAAAGGTGCTTCTGGCATCAAAGGAGAAAGAGTGAGTACCATCACGTTGCAGAGCAGCTCATACACTTAATGTATAAACCATCACAGCGTGTTCACATGTGATCTGTCGTCATAACAGGGAGCAGCTGGTGAACCAGGAGATCCTGGAGAAGATGTAAGTAATCAGCTTCCACTGGCTGTTCGTTGTCTGAATCTGCCTTTTTTTTTTTTATGAACTTGTGTGATTCCATTGAAGATGGGCTTGTTATGTACATATACATCTTCAGAGTGCTGCTAAATGCCTAATGCTGTCATCTATCAGGGAAGATGTATGTTGAATTTAATATTTGATGTGAACAAACTAATGATCACTTTTTACAAGTCGATGAAGGGCTAAAACAATGTATTCCTTTTGACAGTATGTGTGTATTGGCCTTGGTAAATATTAGTTTATGAGCTGATAATGTTATTACAGCCATTTACTCTAAAACTTTTTGAACCACATCCAACTTAGACTTTTTTTCAGTGCTATGACATTTCTGTTAATCAGATTTCAAACAAAAGTTTAGGTAGTAAATAGGAAAATATAATAATAATAATAATAATAATAATAATAATAAACTTTGAGTCCCTAAATGATTAAACAGTAGAACAGCCTGTTTGCCAGGCTCTTAACCAGAGTAAATGGGTTTGAATACATCACTTCGGTTTTAGCCTTTTTTCCTGAATTCCAGTACATTCTATCATCAATCTGAAGTATGTTTAAGATTCAGGACATGACATGGTCCAATTCCTCAGTATATCTCAAATCTGTTATCCTCGTACAACCCTGTTCACACTTTAAGATCCCTGTACAGGGGCCCTCTATCTGTTCCTGACTCTCAGCTGAAGACAAAAGAAGGACAGAGCTTTAGAAATAACAGCCCCAATGCTCTGGAATAACCTGCCTGAGCAAATACAAAAGGCTGAGTCAGTGGCTTTTTTAACTCTAAGCTAAAAACATGCTATTTTCGAACCACCTCAGATTAGATCCGATTCTAGCTGTTGTTCTCTTAATGGGTTTTGGTATTGTTAGCTTTGTTATGGCGGTTTTATACTTTCATTCTGTTTTCACTGTTGTTCTGTAACTTTGATTGGAGAAGCACTACATAAATAAAGATATTATTTAGATGGTACAATTCATGCATAAAATGCACCACAATGTACTGTATTTAAATTGACTTGCATCACCAAATCACAACATGTCTTTTCAATGCACTCCACATAAAGTCAAAATCAAAACCCTAAAACATTGTAGGAAGAAATCCAGCAATTTGCCTCGACTGTTTGGGGTGAGGGGAAAGCAGAGAGAGAAAAGATGAGCGAAACAACAACCAATATAACAGCAAACACTGCGAGGCCAGTAACTGCAGATCAGATCGTGCAGCTCCAGAGCCAGAGATACCTGCAGAGACGTACAGGGAGATAGAGGACAGAGAGGACAAAACACAAACTACAGGGGAGAGAAGACGCAAAGTTTGTGACGTGCGATAGTGGCATATAAATAAATGGAGGGGGAAAGGTTGGAAAGTTAGAATTTATGATAAAACGATAAAAGCAAGGAATATAAAATAAGATAAAGCTGAATTAAAATTACAGGATAAGATATCAGCCTGGTAAGAACACTTAAACAGAAGAAAACAGTGGTAAAAAGATGTCTTCATCTTATTTTGTTTGAGAGAGTCAACAGATTCAGAGCCCCTGAGTCTCTTTCAGATATCTGTATGAAGTGTGTCTAAGCAGTAGCTTTCTATATTACCCACACCAGACAGAGGAGCATAAGTGAAGTCAAGTCATCATTATTTATCTAGTACATTTGAAACAACAGCCATTAAGCCAAACTACTTACTTCAGCCAATCGTCAAAAGTCAAGCCTGCTGGAGATGGAAGTGTACGTCAACTTTTCTCTGTCTGTCAGAGAAAGAAATGGTTGGATTCTGGCAATATTCCCTGAATCATAGAAGGATACTTTAGTCACATCTCTAATGTGACATTAAAAATTTAGGTCAGAGGCAATGATAACACCAAGGTTTTTGTCCTGTGCCTTTGTGCTCGGTACAGATAGGTTAAGGTGGTCAGACTGTTTTTCTCTCTCAGGAGAAGATTTCAGTTTTACCCTTGATTTAGCTGCTAAAAGTTGAGTCATTCACAGACTTATGTTGGTGATACATGCAATCCAGTCATTTGTAAAACTGTGATCATTTGGTCTGACAGAGATATATAACTAGGTGAAGATGGAAAGAGTTGGGCCTGAGATAGAACCCTGGGGGACACCACGTCAGATTGGTTTTATCTGAGGGCCAACCCAGTGCTGAAGACTGCACAGAACATTAATATCATCTACAGTATCAAATGCAGCGCTGAGACCTACAGGACAAACACAGAGAGCTTTTTCTAATCAGTGTTCATCCTGAGCTCCTGCTGTACTGTGCTTGTTCCTGAAACCAGACAAGGAACACAGTGTTGTCACAGAGGAAATGCTCACTTGTTGTCCTTGCTCAGAAAAGGCAGATTGGTCTGTAATTCAAGTTTTTCACACTTTCTGGAACATTGAGCAGCCTCTCCTGAATAAGTTTTATTGTGATGGCTGCAAACTTCAGTCTAGTATAGTCAGAAAATACATTGCATTTAGCAGGACAGAGTTGGTGAGCAGCAGTCTATGATGCTGTCAGCAGTTGAAAAAGGAAACTTCGACCTGTTCATACAAGTAAAATGGTACTGTGCTGCTGATAGCTGCATTTTCCGTCTCCTTTCAATTTTGTGTCTTCTGATTTGGTTGAGTCTCTGTTTACTTTGTGATTTTTGTTTCTGAGGAATGTTTTAGGATCTCACTTGGGTGACATGGTCAATAGCTGATTGTAGTTTTGTGTGCAAATTATCCACTAGATCATCAACAGATGAAAGGAGATTTGTCAGAGACATTATTTATATGCAAGACAATCATTTTCAGATGCAAGGTCAAACAGTACAACAAGAATTACAGTGTGGCATATGAAGAGAAACTGTTGATTCAGTTAAACAGTGATCAGACCAGAACCACATCCTTAACTGATGAAATGTCCTAAAGAAAGTCCACTGCATGATGACAATGTTTAAGCTATGAATTGGTTCATTAGCATGTTGTTTGAAGCTCAGATCGATAAATCAATTAGTCAGTCAGTGTTTTTGTTTTTGTTTTTTGTCCCCAGTGGATTGGTGGATCGTCTGATAGATGTGAAAAGCCAGAAGCCTTTTTGTCTCTGGTATTGTGAATGTGTAAATTGAAGTCATCAGTAAGGATTATATTTTCATATTTAGAGCTGACGATAGAAAAGACAAGAAACTTTGGCAGTTGTTTCTACAGAAAATAGCTGCAAGAATGATGCTGAACATTCAGTGTGACACTCAAACTAAATACACCTAAAGAAATATTCTTTGACCCCAACATCCATATATATTGTCCTGTCCGGTGCAGTTGGAGACATTTCACAGGGCTGTTTCAATACGAGCAGCTGATGTGTCCACGCCAGCCAGGTTTCAGATAGTTATATTGACTTGAGTGTTAATGTTTAAAAATTACATTTGCAGATTTTATTCCTTGCTTTAATCTTTAAGTGTTTGGATGCTTACAAGGTTGCCTTCATCTACCCGGCTGTGAATTTGGAGGTTAGATCTTTGTCAGATTAGATTCTAAAAGCGCTCTGTGAGGTCTTTTAGGCACTCAGACTAGAATTGTGGCTGGTGAGCAGACAGATGCTACATACTGATCAGATAATCTTGGGAATGTGTGAAGCATGTGTTGATGTAAAAAAAAAAAAAGCCAGTGAAAAGTCCCTGGGTTATTTAGCTTGCTGAATAAATTCTTCATTTTGATAGCAGAACCACAGTGATAGGGGGACGGACCCCAGGGATGTCAGCCGCTGACAGAGCGGTTGGCAGGAAGCGTCGGGACGATGGTCTGATTACTATTGTCCATGCTTTTGTGCTGGGAGGTCTTTTTTTTTTTTACCACACATATTAAACCAGAACCCTCTTTTTTCAGTCCAATTATTTAATCTTGTTTTACTTGACTATTTTTCTATAGCAGCGTCGACTTTCTGTCCTAAAATGTCAACTGTAACTGAGCCCAATCTTCTCTAACGCTGGAGGTTTTGATTATTTGTCATCCCTGAAGTTAACAAGGCATGTTAATTGTAATGACAACCATGCGTGCAGTGTCTTCACCAGCGTAATGAATGCTAAACTGATTTCTGGGAGGCATGCAAAATGTGAAGCAGTTTTCAAACAAGATGGAAAATGAGATTTTATCATTAATGCTAATAAAAAAATGTAAGTTTATTGTTAATGTTTGTCTGTTTTCTTTTCAGTCACTTCTCATTCATGCATATATTCAAAAATCCACTAAAATGATTCTTTTCACACCTCTTTATTTGTTATTCATGCAGGGAGCACAAGGATCTTCTGGACCGAAAGGAGATAAGGTGAGCTTTTGTCACGTGTTTTGTTAATATGCCCCAAGTCAAACCAATTTCTCTGACTGTAATGACAAAATGTGTGTTGCAGGGAGAGAAGGGCATCGGGCTAGCAGGTTCTCCTGGTCGGGATGGGCCTGCAGGTTTAAAGGTAGGTAATAACATGTGCTGCAGCACAGGACGATCTATGTTTTTATCTCCGCGGTCAGATAATGTGGTCTATCAGACATGCCGCAGGATAAAATCTGTGACTGCATTGCAGGGTGATCCAGGGCTTCCTGGTCCAGCAGGGCCTCCTGGGCCACCGGGGAAGTCAGGGAACACTGGGCAGCCAGGTGTGAGAGGAGAAAATGGACAACCAGGACCCCAAGGGCCTTCAGGAGAGAGGGTCGGTGTAGCTGCTGATAATAAAAACAAACATTATTTTAACCTGCATCTCTTTAGCAAAATTTCCAACTATTGTGCTCTTTTTTTCAGGGTCTCCAAGGCTTTGCAGGTCGTGCAGGAAATGTTGGACCTCCTGGTCCTGCTGGTCCTGCTGGACAGGCAGTGAGTTCTTGTTCTTATTACACTGTGATAATTAGCTAAGTTCTCTTGAGAGCTTCCATATTTGGCTTGACTGTTGATTGTACTGGACTCCTGGTTTGTTATTGGACAGCTGCTTACAGACAAAAAGGTTTTTCTTTTCACTGGGCCCCTATCTGTTAAATTTTGTTGCTAAAATACAAACAGATGTAAATAAAGAAAAGAGAGAAGGCAGTGACGGGTAATAAGAAAGGGAACTTGTAATTTATATGATCAATGCTTTGTTTTCTAGGGTTCTCCTGGAGCTGCTGGGGTCAAAGGGGACAAGGTGACTGTCCAAGCCGACGCATACAGTATTTCTGTCTTGCTGCTTAAATGTTAATGGATTTTTTGAAGGGTATAGATATTATTTCTGTTGCCAGGGGGAAGTTGGTGTTGGCGTACCTGGTCCCAGAGGAGAGAGAGGAGATCCAGGGCCCAGAGTAAGACACCAGTTACACCGCTGTATCACTGAGGACGTGACCTATTATGAATTTGCCTTCAGAGAACCGAAGCTAACTCTGGTATATTTGCACATCTATCGTCTGTCATATCTTAGGGCGAGGAGGGTCGAGCCGGCTTGGACGGGGAGAGAGGACCAACAGTAAATATCAAGTGTTTTCTCTTTTGTTTGTCTCTCAGGAACAAATTGTGCACCTACACAGCTTTCAAGTTCTCCTTCAAGGGGTTTTATTCAAACAATAAGACGAGCATGTTTCCAAGGAAAAAAACATGAATCTTATTGTTATATTTGAAGAGCTGTTCGTCACAACTACACGATGCATTTCGTCAACAATGCAGTTTTAAACCAACATCAACAGAAATGTCCTCTACCTGAGCTCCCTGTTTAATTAAACTGTGAACCGTTAGGAGTCATTATTATTGTGCATTATTGTGATTTCATATTATTTCATGCAATTTGTGGTCTGACCAATTAAAAAAAAAAAAAAGGTGCTTAGGGGCAGAAACACGCTTAGATGTTTCTCATAATGGGGTGTGTGTTTGTGTCCATCAGGGTCCTCCAGGGATCCGCGGAGCTCGAGGAGAGAAGGTGAATACGACCAGTCTTTTTCTTATTTTTAAGTGTCATCATGCGAGATGTGTCCCCTGAGCGCATGTAAAGCAGTGAATTAAATTGACATGGTTGAATGAAATGTTTTCCTCTCAATCTTTTTTTTTTCCTAGGGAGACGGCGGGCTGCCAGGTGACAAAGGAGAGAAGGTGTGTGCATTTTAATATCTAAAAAGCCCCGACACCGCTTTCTCTCTCTCTCTCTCTCTCTCTCTCTCTCTCTCTCTCTCTCTCTCTCTTTCTCTCACTTGTGTGTTTGTTTATATTTGTAAAGACGACAGAGACACAAAATTGAAGAAAAGGGAAAAATAAGACATATTGTGTCAGCGGCGGCTGTTTGAAAACACTCCTTCAACAGATTTATTCTGCTGACAGCGGAATGTGTAATGTCTATGATGAATATATGAATACACACAATGTTAATGAGCTGTGATATTACAAGTCACATAGTGTGGGGAAAAAAGACAACAGGATAAAACGTCATGTGTAGAATTGTATTTATTTTGGGGGGTTTTGGTCTAAAACCAGTTGTTCACAGCTGTTCTGTCACTTACAGGGGGACACTGTGCTGGTGGGAGGACCTCCTGGAGAAAAGGGCAACAAAGGAGAAACAGTCAGTAAACAGCTAAATGCGTCACACTGTTAAATATTTATTTATGTTCTGACAGTGTATTGGTTTTTGCTTGTTATGGATTTTATTGTTGTCTCATTCAGGGTGACAGAGGACCCAAAGGTGTACAAGGAGAAAAAGGGGGGAAAGGCCAAGAGGGTCCAGCTGGAGAGCAGGTGCAGCTTAATTTATTAACTGTTTGGTCTGTAAAATATCAGAAAATAGTGAAAAGTACCCATCAGAATTTCCAAAAGCCCAAAGTCATATTGCTAATTTTATCGGAGCAGTTCAAAATGCAAAGATACTCAATTACATAGATATAAAACTGGCAAACTAGCTGGATTTGTTGCATTTGAGAACCGGAAACTAGGAAAAAAGAAAGAAAAAAAGCATTTTGGGTTGATAAGGATTTCTATGTTTCATGGAGTATTAATAGTTTTTAGTAAGCTTTTGTTTACCGTTTTCTAAAGAAGGATCTAAAGAAGACGTGAACAATGTAAAGTCATTATTGAAGTGTATCTGGTAGCTGTGCAGGCTAAAGCATCGGTTAGTTATTTATCTCCAATCATCAGCTGTAATGCATCCTCAAAAAGATTCTATTTGAATGATATCACAGTAGCCAAAACCCAAGATAAAATGTCATTGTATTGATTATCAGTATCCCTATTTCTGTGTTGTGTGTATTTGACATCAGGGTCTGAGGGGAGAGCCTGGAGAACGAGGATCCACTGGATTCCCAGGTGCCCGAGGTCCTGGAGGACAGAAGGCAAGCAACACTGTTCATGGCTGAGGATTGTGATTAAATCAGCATCACACTAGATAGCAAAGCCAGTCAGTAGTCAGTGTAGTAGCAGTAGTAGTTTTCCTGCTATCAACACTGTAAAACAGTATTTCTCTCTCTCTCTGCAGGGAGAAGCAGGCCTGCCTGGAGTACCTGGTGAATTGGTCTGTGTTGCTTCTGTCCAAAAACAGCTTCTTCATCTCCTGTGTGTAGCTTTCTGTTCGTGAGTAGAAGGAGGCATGATTTCTGTTTCTCCTATTCTTGCAGGGTTTACCAGGAAAAGATGGACTGCCAGGGTGGAAGGGGGATAAGGGAGAGCTTGGTATTGTGGGAATGAGAGGAATCAAGGTAATTTTGTGTGTGTGTTTGAGATACAGCGGTGTGGTTTCAACCTTGCAGTGTTTTTCAAGGATGGGTGACAGTCACAACTCCATAATAGCATAAAATTGCAGAGGATTAATACAAATTGTGTCATACATATGCATGCCGAGTATTTGCTTTCAGCCCAATATTCTGATGATTAATATCTGAAAATGGGGATATGCTCGCATTTTCTTTTCACTTTATTCATTTATCTGTTCATCTATTTGAATCACGGAATCAATCAAATCTCAAAGTGGGCAGCGATGTAGAGGCAAGGAGGCAGGTTATGCCTTTTTTTATTATAACCTTTACTTAATCCTCTAATCTTGAAGAGAGACCTGGTACAGCAGGAGAAATACGTACAGAGGACATCAGACACACAGCAGCCACAACCAGTCACTTCCTACAAGTGGGTAATATGTAGTCTAAAGCTGGCACTTGAATGTAACATGTTCTTTGATCCGTGCAGCAATGAAGTCCTCTTTACATTTAAGGAATTTATCGGAAGTATAAAATCCCCAATTTTCCTGTTATTGTTACATCACAACACAAACCTTCAGCTAATGCATTTCTCACCACTTTGGAAAAAAATTTCATGGTAGCCACCAAATATTTCTCCTACATTCAGTGTTACTTGTTAAAAAGACTCATGAGAAATGAAAGGACTAAAGTCAGGTGGTGATACTTTACTATGAAGGATATGATATAGGAAGCATAGAAACACAATTGTTTACAGTCTTAACTTTTGACCATGAATGCCAGGTAAATATCAATTAAGTCATCTCTTAACCAGTGATTAGAAGAACTGTCACTCTTGCTATTTATGGAGACACTGGCACCTGGTTTAATGAGAAAATTTTTCTTTTTCCATGGCGAACACTGCTCCTTACCTCACTGAAAGGCCTTGCTTGAAGTCCAGGCTTTTCTTCCGTTCCTTATTTACATCACCATGTAACACATTTCCATAACACCTGCCCTGCACTTAGTTTGGCCGTAAAACAAAGAGCGAGCAGCTTCCTCAAAGTCCACCATTACGTTATGAACGTTTTGGTGTTTACAGGTAATTTTGTAACCATGTTCATGCAGTTAGACTTATTAGAAATCCCATGTGTACTCAATGTTGTTTCAATGATCACTGGTTTTCTAACTTTTGTCACAGAGATCACAGACATATTCCCTTTAGTTGGTTTGAATTTCTATTCTGGGGTCTGTATTTGCAATTTAGTCTTTCTGAAGTATTTGGTAATGATTGTTCATAAGAGGAGATATTTTACTGTCAACCCAGATGTGATGTAATTATTTAGAGGTGATGTCATTTTTAAATCAATTCACTTTTGAATGATATTGCACAAGGGTGTATTCACTTGTCTTGTATACCATATGTACAACAATAGTAGTGTGTTGTTCTCTTCTTGTTGCTGTGAGGAAAAGTGAGGACCAGCCTACTTTTTTTGTGTAATGTGTGACACATCTGGAATGAAACACAGAATCAAACTGCATGAAGTTGTTTGAAGCAGAAAGGGGAACTCGAGATATCATCATAATCAACTACAGATATGATGAAATCAATTTCACAATGGTTTTCCATTCAAATGTTCCAAAAAAATATAGAATTTTTTTTTTCTTAAGTTCCTGTACTAGTTTCTACCACCACTACGTGTTTGTACTTGTTCTCTTATTGTATTTCTGTCATCGGAACGTAACAGCATCTGGTCCTGCGTCATATCTCCTGTTTTTTGGAACTTGCAGTGCAAGGTGTTCACCATGTGTTAAAGTATTTTATTTATGTGCACCGTGATTCAGCTCAAGTCGTAGGGCAGACAAAAGAACAGTCTGCAAGGGCTCTGTCTGCCTGGTTCTTTGCCACATTGTGACTCACAGACCTCTTTCTGTGTGTCTCTCAGTGATGAACTTTTGTGTTTCCAGGGTGACAGAGGACCCAAGGGGGTTTGTGGAGGCGACGGGCCCAAGGGAGAAAAGGTGGGATAGTAAGACAGACAGAGGAATGGTGGGAGGAAGAGGAATAAAAATAGATGAGAATAAACAACTTGCACAGTGATTGTTTCATTCAGATACTGTGGGTTTTTTTTTATGTAGTGAGTAAACAAACTGGATCATGTTAACATTTAACTTCCAGATGGTTAAAAATAAAATTCTGGCCACTAAATCCCACTGATGTGATTATATATTAAACCTAAATAAGCTGAGTCACACTTTTGTGAGTCATGTATTGTGTGGTAAATAAAATTAAATGTGTACCTTTTCAGGGGGATGCTGGTCTTCATGGACGGTCAGGCCTACCGGGGAGGAAAGGTGAACAGGTATGACTAATATCTGCGGAAAAAATTGTCTCCATTAGATGTAATATATGTATTTGTCTGCTTGTTTGTGATTTTTCATCATCAGACAATAAATTCTGTGTTTTCCAGGGTGACGTTGGACCTCCTGGAGCCCCTGGGACCCCTGGAAAAGAGGGACTAGTTGGTCCCAAGGTATGTGCTGGAAAAGTCTTTCTTTTTTTTTTTTTTTTTTTAAACTGTTCAAATGTGTAACTATTCATCTTTGTCTGTTTAGGGGGACCGCGGGTTTGACGGGGTTGCAGGACCCAAAGGCTCTCAGGGAGAGAAAGGTGAAAGGGTGAGTTTCAGCTCCTGGAGTAACAGTACAGTGTACATTAGATTATTGTAATTGCTAACATGCTGTACCTGATCGTTGTGGTCTGCATCATCACTGCAACATCGCTCATCCTCAAAACTACAGGAAGTTTGAAACTCACAATTAACTGTCTCTGTGCTTCATGCAGGGTCCACCTGGTGTACCTGGGCCTCCGGGTCCCAGAGGAGTGGATGGGGCTTCCGGCTTGACTGGCCCACAAGGACCAGCTGGTGCTAAAGGCCCTGAGGGGCTCCAGGGACAGAAGGTGACTATCCTAACTTGGACTTGACGATTGCTAATTCTACACTTGGGTTGCATGTTTTATCTACGGAGACAGAGGCCTTTTAAAGAAAGAATGAAATATGATAATGACAGTCCAGCAGTCCCCTGTCACACCAGTAATTGAATGCAGCATCAGTTACGACAGTGCACACTTTTGATAGTGAGCAGCAAAAAATAATCTGCACAGTAGAAGCAAGAATAGACAAAAGCATCAATTATGTCGATGTGAGCACATGGCAGCAGCAGTCAGGTGTCTGAGTCGTGTGGTGGCAACAAAGATAAAACTTTTGACAGTTTTGACATGAAGAGTATGATGTAAGACTTATATAAAAAGAATACAGTCTTTTTGTCTTCCTCTTTTATTTCTGTTGTCTCTACTTTGTTCTCCTCTTTCTTCTTCACCTGCCTCTTTTTTTTATTTTTATTGCTGTGTATTGCTTCATGATGATTGACAGTTTGATGGGCCCTGTGTTTGACTGGCTTGTCTGCTTCATCATCAAGTAAATAAAGAAGGCTGGTGACAGGAGAGCAGGGCCGTATCAAGTGTCTTCGATGGATGCGCCTTTTTGTTCAGTCTGAGAAAACTCTTGATGTAGCCTGTAGCATTATTTTATACCAAAGTACTGACATCTCTGTTTGGTGTGTGCTATAGAGCTGATAAAACGAATGAAAAGCAGTGACATGAAAATAAGGCAAAACCTGTGAACTTATAACAATATCTGAAATTATACGACTACATTAGAATATGAGGGAAAGGTGAAATTTAAAGCATAAAGACAGTTAAAAGCAATTGATTTGGGGAACAGATGCATACATATGGAGTATAAATAATGCAACATGATTTATTTTTTTAATCTTTCTTTGCTGCCCTACATATGTGCAATACCATCAATGACCATGATGTGCAATATTTTTCTATACTGTACATATAACCTATACTGTATACTGTATATATAACTTATCTTATTTTTTATACTTATATCTCTTCTATTTTTCTTTTTTTTTTTGCTCTTTATTTTGTACTTTATTCTATATGGCACTGAAGGAGCTGCTCTCAATCTCATTGTACATGTGTATAGTGACAATAAAGGCATTATATTCTATTCTATTCTTTCACTGAGAAAACTACACAGTCAAATACCACATATCCAGAGATCATCTGTGCAGACAAATGGGGACAATGCCACCGCAGACGTGAAGTATTTTACAATGTTGTTTTGCCTGTTTGTCAGGGAGAGAGAGGCCCAATCGGTCCAGCCATGGTCGGTCCACGAGGCATCCCAGGGATCCCGGGAGAGCGAGGAGAGCAGGTCGGTGTCGCTTCTGTCTCCTCGTGTCTCTTGACTGTTTTCTTGGCCACCCTCATTGATTGGAAGCTACTTGCTGTGGTCAAAAAGTTCCAGTGTCCCTAATCAAAAACACCAGAACATCATGCTGGAACACTGAGCTACATGTTGTAATACGCCAAAAGGCTTTTGAGGAAGTTTTCTTGCCTCATTGCTTTTACATTTTTTGGACCACTCAAGACTTTATTTAGGCTGTGTTTGCTATTCATTAGGGCTCCTAGTAATCCCATCCAAGGACATTGTCAAGTTTCTGTTGTTGCTTCAACCTTCCTCTTTGATTATGCTGCTATTTTACGTGCTGCACCTGGTCTCGGCCTCATGAATTCATGCGCTGCGAGCCTCTCTGTGGGTCGTCTATGTCCTAATACCTGTCCATGTTGCAGGGAGAGATGGGCCCAGATGGAGGCAAGGGAGACAGAGGAGAGCCAGGCATGACGGTCAGTGCTTGATCCTTACCGCGGGGCTCAATCTGAAGACACCAAATGGCCCACACACACACATATTTACACCGAGTTGATATCGGGGTTGTGTTTATCAGTGTGTTTTGCCCTGTTCCCCTCTTTATTTTGAATTCAGGAGGATGAGATCAGACAGTACGTTCGCACCGAGATGAGTCAGCACTGTGGTGAGTCTTTCATGCAGCTTACATTGCTAATTTATAAGAGTGTTGTCCTCAAGTTGAACTTCAGATGCTAATCACAGCACATGAGTCACAGCCTCAGCTAAACTCTATGGAAGTATAATTCAAGAGATGCCTGAGAGGATGACAGCGATGCCATGACTCTTTAAACTGACCTTTATTATTCCCTCTCTTTCTGCTTCCTTCCTGTCCATCTGTCTGATCCTCAGCGTGCGGAGGTGAGTGAGCCACTCAGCTGCAGCAGAAAAGTGGACAGAAGGGCTGTGATTTAGCATGAGTCACAGCAGTATACTATACCACATATGCCGGCGCAGAGTCTGTAGTGATATTTGGAGACACTGAAGTGCAATTCCCTTTTGTTTGCGTTCCGTTTGAATGATTGACATGCATTTGAAGTCATGCACACAAACAAAATAGAGTTGGCAGTTGGAGTAAAACAACTATAAGTGTTTGTTCAGGCTGTTTTTCAGATTAGTTTTTTTTTTTTCCCAGGTGCTAATTATTACCAGTTATTTACTGTAAAAGTAAACAATATGGAATATGTTAAAGTAAATCAATAGAACAAAAATGAGTGAAAACCTGAAATGTCCCACAGTTTGACATAATGTGTTTTCTTGTCTGAGCTGTTAATCAATGCGCAACCACATGAGTGTTGTAAAGTTACAGTTACGGCAGCATGAGATAAGTGATGGTGAGGCAGACTGCTAATAAATATGCAGCATTACAGATAATGAGGCCAAAGCAAAACTTCACTCATGTTTAATTTATTTACTATTACCTAAGAAACAGTTACGAGCTTCATGATGAACAACCCTGTGATGTTTTGTAGTCTGCTGTCCTCAATCGAATCGGCCCAGATTTCACTTGGAGTCAAGTCAACAAATAATTAAATAAAAATGTTTGGCTCGAGTGACACAAGTCTTTACAGAAGTGACTTGAGTCCTTAAAGGATCACAGCCAGTTTCTGGAAGACTGCCTCATGTTGATCGGTCTTACAAAAACCTGGTGGATCCTTTTAGCTGGTGTCTGTGTTGGAAAGGTGGAATGATGTTTGTGGTGCTTTGGGCTTGTTGTTGGCTCATGTGTCTAAATGTTTTACTACCAGAATGTTCTGTCCTTGCCTTTTTTTTTTTCCCCCTACATTTTTGCTTCTCTGATCCGCCCTCATGTAACACCTACCCGGTCCCTCTCGCTCTCTAAATCCCGTCTTCGCTATTTCGGTGTCCCCCGTTTGCTCCCTGTCCTATCCGGCTCTCTCAGGTTCAGGCCCCAACATTCGGTCCCAGCCCACCGTCAGGGCTCGGCCTGCACCAGAGCAGCAACTGGTACTGAAGGGTGCGGAGGGTGAGTGTTTCCTTCCATCGCGCTGCCTGTTGACCTCAGTCTCGTTTGTCTGTCCGTGTGGCCGTCCTCTTACAAACAAGCGTGACTGGTGGTGCTACATTTGGAGACCTCTGAACACCGGGTGGTTTTCTCATTAAGAAAACAGAGAACTCCATTTGTGTCCCACTGACCAACTATATATTACTCTGATTATATCAAGACCAGTACAATGGGAGGCTCTTATTAGCGGACTTTTCTGTGCCTGTATTTAGTGGCTTTTTGTGTTGAGCAATTATTGAAGGCTCTTCCCTCTATGTGAAGGTTTGAGAACTCAAGTGCAGGATCCTTTACCTGTGTGATGCTGCTCTTCTTTCAGGCCGCGAGCTGCGTGTGGTGGTAAACACCAATGACCCAGACTACGAGCACATCTACTCCATCGAGGCCTACGATGACCCCGTGGACGAGCTGCTCTACTTGCCTCCGTCTGCCAACCAGAGTGACGGTACTGTTTGTTTCATATTGCACCCAATAGAATCATGCAGTGAAGAAGCAGAGCCTGACCAGTGTCTCAGTATCTGTGTGTTGACCTAATCCTTATTCTCAACTTTAAAATGCGTCAACCTGAGTGTGTACCTTTTCAAGTTTTACCATTGTGACTAAATACACCCAACTTACAACAGAGATGTGGATTATAAGGTTGTTACTAAGAAGCTACTGTGAACAAAAATATGACTTTAAAAAACCAGGCTGTCAAAATCCTGACATATCCCTTTAAAATATTTTAACCCTTAGAGGTCCGCCGTCACACCAGCATGTTATAATCATATGACATGTTCAAGACATCACAACGGGAAAACTGTCGTATATACGGTGATGCCATCAACTTCTCTCAAAGTGCAGACTTTAAACTTTAAACTCCCTCGCAGCTTTTGTTTCATGTCAACAGACTGCGTAAAACTGGAGATATGATGTTATGAATATGCGTGACAAAAACTGTGTGTAAAATATATATATATATGTGTGAAATATGCGCTGCGGGTGTCGCGTTTCTTTCAAAATCTCCGTCATGTTTTGTGTTCAATTTTTTTGTGACGGACAAAACGAAAGTGAAATAAAGTCCCTGGAAGTGCAGGTCCTGTAATGTGGCTGTCTGCCTCATTTTGGACAGAAATTATTTTCAGGAGTGGCACAGATAAAAACAGAAAGAAAGCCACACCTACTTTGTATATAGTTGCATATATAGTTGTATGTAGTTGTATATATTTGTATTTAGTTGATTTTATATTAAATTTACCTTTTCAAGTTCACATCTGCAACCCATGATTACATTTTCAACTTTTAAAATGCTTCGTTAAGCATGTTTGTGGTTTTTATTGTCATAAATAATACATTTCTTCAAATCGGATTTTGTATTTTATGTGTGTTTTTGAGCCCAAAATGTTAATATAGTTGGTTAAAGTGAAAAAATAATGTTCAGATCATACAGAGAATGTTGTACTAAAAAAAGATACCAAACATGGGCATGGTAAACATGTTTTTATGTGGTGTGTAAAGACAAAACTAAAAGAATGCAAAACCAGCCAAAACAGGCCAAGACCTCTAAGGGTTAAATAAGCCATATTTACTAATACGTGCTGCTCACTTTTTTTGTTTTACATTATAAACTCAAATGCTGTGTCAAATTCTGTTCAGTAATCCAATTTGTACCAGTGGAGTGTTTCAATCTTACTCGTCTGCATTTCAGTTTGTACTCATTTCATGATAATGATGCTCTGCTGGCCTTGAGTATTTTTCTCACAGCCCGCTACAAGCACACACCATCCCGAGTCTGTGACCTTTCATGCTGCTAGTGTAGATTGCTGGTCTTTATCCCCTGTTATCATGTTAATGTCTTTTTTTTAATACGTCTGAGCCGGCAACAGCTGCGGCCACTGACATTATGTGTTGGGTTGTTTGTCTGTCCCATGCTTGTGAACAAGGCACCTCAGGATTCTCTTGAGGAAATCTTTTGAAATTTTACACAAATGTTCACTTGGACCCAAGGGTGAAGTGATAAAAATGTTGATGGCCAAACATCAAAGGTAAGACTGACTTTAGATTCACATTCATCCTGTTCTTGTGAACATGATGTATGAATCGAGTGAATTTGTTTTATTTGATAGGGATGATGTAGTTGTACAGAACGGAGCATGAAGCTGCTGATGGTCTTTCACGTACACATTATAATTGAAGCATACAGCTTGCATACACTACATGCATATAAATACACTATATATACTAAAGACATGGATATAGAAGCACACTGGCGTACATGCAACAAAATCTATTTATTGTGATATTTAAAAAAAAAAAAAAAAAACTTAATAGAGTAGGACTGAATAGGGCTACCTGGAGGGAATTTCATTATATCTGGCACACATGTCCTCTTTGACTCCAGGACGAACTGATTTAAATTCAGTGATCAAAGGTCACTGTGACTTCACAATGCATGTTTTTTTCCATAACTCAGAAATATGACAACATTGCAGACAAACATCTAACATGACAAACTGAAGAAGTAATGACATTTTGTCCCCCAAAGGCCAAAGGTCAACTTAACTAACATTATAATATTCTGAAAAGATGTTTTCTGGCCATTATTTTACACAATAACTCAGAAAAATCCCATTTCACATGTGGTCAGGTACAAGGCTGGGGACATTGTGGACAACTGTGCTGATTGTATAGATCTTGTGTGCTGCTGGGTTGAAGATGTCTGTGAAGCATCCACATTGGAATAAGCTTCTTTGCATCCATATTTGAGGCAATATCAGCAACAGTATTCACTACATATATTTTATGAGTCTGTACATACGTGGATGTAACTGCAACTCGACTGGTCGGTGTGTGTGTGTGTGTGTGTGTGTGTGTCTGTCGTGCGCTTGTGTGTGGATGTTTTGTATTTCTGTGTGTGTTGCCAGGTGAGGTCGATAATAAGGAATCTGAGAAAACAGTCAGATTCGAACCAAACAAACCAGCGAGTGGAGTCGCTCAGAAAACAGCAACAGTTGGTGGTCAGAAAGCAGTCAAAGTTATACCTGCAAAAGCAGTCAAGTCCAAATCAGTCAGGTCCAAGAGGAGAGTCAAAGGGGAAGGTAAAGCAGTTCTTGTGCCTTTGTCCTGTTCTGGGATTTATTCAGGGTTAATTGTGCCGTCCTGCCCGTCTGGTGTCTGGCGCTCTGCATGTCTCAGGCTGCGTGAGCTGACTTGCCGTTGATTTATTTTTGAAAAGTGCTTTACAAATGAAGTTGTTATGGTGCATGTGGTGAAATAAGACAAAAAGAATAATATATTAGAGGTGTTACTTTGCATTGAAACGCAAAAGCATTTGAATAACTGGTTGGTTTGATGATCTCAGTGATCCTTCGTGCTTGTTTTGGGTAACAAGCACGCAAGAAGGCTGCTGCTCCTTATTGCTGCCTTTCATCTGCTCCTTTTTGCCTGGCCTGCCCTTTTCTCATTCTCTTTGTCTCCATGCATGCAAACTTTTCACGTGTGTGTACGTGTGCTGCAGCTCCAGCAGACCTGTGCCTGCTGCCCATGGAGGAGGGGAGCTGTGAGCGATACACTCTGCGCTGGTACTTTAACAGTGAGGTTCAGGCCTGCAGGCCCTTCATCTACAGCGGTTGTGAAGGAAATGACAACCGCTTTCTCCACCTGGAGGAGTGTGAGGAGGTCTGCCTTGGGGAGGCTGAAGGTACAAAAAGAAGCACGCACATACACAGTAGTTTCAGTCAGATATCTAATGTGTGCAAACTAACAAATGGTCTGTTGTGCAGGTCCTCATCCCTCAAAGACAGCACGATGATTGTGGCCAAATCCTCTGCTGCCACAGGAATGTTAGCCTTTATATAGCTTTTAAGGATTATCTTGTTGTCAAATGTCTGTGGTTTTGTTTGTTTTTGTTTATTTGTTGTTGTTGTTTTAAGCCCAACCAAACTTTACCCCAGTTTGTCAGGAGATACCAGAATATGCCTCGTTGGTTTCTCTTACTATGTGCCGTAGTAAAAAATAAATAAATAATTAATTAATATTTGCACACTGAAGAAAAGTGCTAAACATTGCAGCAGTAGTGTGATACTTTACCATCTTTAGTTCAGTCAGTCATTACAGTCAGTGTGTTTTACCTGGACCCTATTACTTCACTTATTATAATCACCAAGATTATATCAGTCTGAATAATCCAACAAAACTGAAAAAAGAAGAAAATGTGTTTGGAAATGAGGGTTATATTTTTCACCAAAAAAATAATTACACACAATCGTATTTTAAAAGATATGTATATATACTGTATGTATCCTATTTCAAAACAGAACTGTCCACCCAAACACGGAGATATGAGGGGCCCAAACAGTAAAGTAGATCTCTTAGAAGTAAAGTTTTTTGTTTTGTTTTGTTTTGTTTTTAAAGCAATGAGATACGAGAAAATACACAGTATCATGAATCATCCATTTCACTCTTCCATTGATGCTGTGACAAACTGACATGCAGTAATGGGTCAAAAGAATAAATAAATAAATGAAATAAATAATAAGCAAATACATGACAGTTGTCTTTGCAAAGATTAAATGGATGACTTAACATGAAACTTTGTTGAATGACAGGACAAACTCCACCTTTTATGAAATTCACTGAACTAGTTACGACAAGGATGCTGTGCAATAAGGTACAACGTTCAAAATCTGCTCACTCCTCGTATTTGCACACTTTAACTTAGCTTTCAGTAAATTAGAAAAGTAGACAAAGTTGTAGGTTCTATTTTTTCAATTGTGCCAAATCCATCCATCCATTGTCTAAACACCGCTTAATCCTCACTAGGGTCACAGGGGGCTGGAGTCTATCCCAGCTGACTTAAAGTGAAGGCAGGGGACACCCTGGACAGGTCACCAGTCTATCACAGGGCTACACGTAGAGACAGACAACCAAGCACACTCACATTCACACCTACGGACAATTTAGGATCATCAATTAATCTCAACATGTTTTTGGAAAGTGGGAGGAAGCCGGAGAACCCGGAGAGAACCCACGCTGCACAGGGAGAACATGCAAACTCCACACAGAAAGATCCCAGCTGTCCTCACCGGGACGAACTGGGGATCTTGTCGCTGCGAGGCGACGGTGCTGACCACACAGCCACCTTGCAGCCCCAATTGTGCCAAATGAACATTTTAAAATTTTCTTCTAATGATAATCTTACATGAGTGAACTGCATAAAGAAGTAATATTTTACCTTATCTGAACTTTGTTTCTAAGAAATCGTGTCTTTTAGTCCGTTTGTTTAGAAAATGGTGCTAAATACTGTCGTATTTAATAAATGGCTGCTGCAGTAATCGCTATGAAAAAGACAGAAACTAAAGGTGAAAATCAGCCTTAATAACTCTCCACCATTAATTCATCCTGAGTGGACCCAGAATCCAACAGTGAATCAACTTTGCACTTTATTAGCAGTGTATGAATGATTCAAAATGTATTTTAACCGGTTTCTACAAACACTTATCTCAAACCACCAAAGATTTTTTAATTTCGATTCAGTTCAATTTTGTTAAAATATTAATAAGACAAACACAACAAATCCAACTATTCCCTTTGAGCAAGCACTTGTTAAGCACTTGTTTTAAACAAGAATGACATGTTGCATATAAACAGTACAGAGAGTATTTAAAGCTAGATACATTTATATACACCATATACAGAAAACATACTGAATATAATTTATGCAACTAGCTTCAGCATTTAACAAGAGTTTTAAGTTATGTATGTGTCTGGTTGCTCCCTAGTGCTCCTCCAAGCAAACGTCTCTCCCCAAGTTTTTGTGTCGCACGTTCTAGTCCTGTTCACTTCTCTTTTTCAGCATAGTGGAAATCAATTAATTTAATCAAGCAAGAGACTTCCATGCCGTTTCAAACCGTGAAGGTGCTCTAAAGTTTCCTGATGCTGTCTATGCAAAAGATGAATGGGACCGTTTCCTCCAGACTCCCAAAATAAGTCCTTACACTTCTCCACACACAAATGCAACCACAATCATACCGGGTTATTATTCTGGATATAGTTTTTGTATCGAATATGAAGTATCAAGCACAATATTCTGCCAATATTTTGTACATAATGTTTGTTGTTATTTGGGGAAAAGTTGTGTTACTGTTCATGACTGCATGTTTACCTGCCAGAGAAAAGGTGCTATTTTTAAAGGTATTTTTATACTGTGTGTTGAAGGTGTAAGCTTGTGTGTTTTTTGTGTATTACAAAATGTAGTGCTATGGAATATTTTAATAAACATTTCTAATAAACCAAATGTTTGTGTAAAAACTCTTTTTGTGTGCGTGTTGTGACGTTGGCAGGTTTTCATACTCAACGCTCAATACTTCAAAAAAACATGCGGCTTTTGAATGTGTGACCTTCTCATAAGTAGACGCACTGACAACGAAGATCTGATGAGGTCTCTGTTTGATTTTAGTAATGTTGACATTTTCTTTCTTGATATGATCTGTGACTGTTCGTGCGCGTACAGGAATAGAATATTCTCAGTCAAGGAAATTCACTACATAATTTTTCAATGGAGACGATGAGGAGATATGGAATTAGTGTGTGTGTGTGTGGATGTGTAGATGTGTGTGACTGATTAGATGTTCTAATTTCATCAGCAGATTTTATTAATGAGAGGATTTTCTGCTTGTTGGCCATGGCTCCTCCTCCCTTGGTTTTTCCATGCTCTCTGCCCTCGGTTGATTTCCCCTGGTTGGAGACACGCCGACTCCATATCGTCTCCATCACACTTGAGCTGGCCTCACACAGCTTCGTCGACTCCGTGTCCTCTTCCTCTGCCTGACTTAATTTTAAAAAGTTATCTCCGTCAGCTTTTCATCATGCTGTAGGCTCGCATGTGTTGGCAGGAGCTGTGACAGCTTAAACAAATTATGCACACTGTGGCAAAGACATGATCGTGACACGCTGACAGTGATTGCGGATGTAAAGATGAATAGATGGAAAAGGCTTCAAATCACTCAGTCGATGGACAAAGACAGGCCACTGTTGGCCTGTCACACTGAACTGCCACTATCTATTTTTCTGAGAGAAGTCATGTTGGCCTTTTATTTGAAGGCTGGTATTGTTTAATATTCAGGTTTTCAGTATTGAATTTAGTCGAATAATGGCGTCAGAGCTGCTTTGCAATTGTAATTGTAACCTTTCCAATTAGTCTCTCATAGCTCAAAAGCTTCTAAACTTTGGAGTTTGAAGAAAGAAAGAAATCTACACTGTGCAAAATACAGTACAGGAGGACCTGAGAGTTCTACCGTATGAAGTCACACAACTAATTTTCTAGCAAAGCTACAGTGATTTGCTCCCAGAGCTTTTCTGAGGGATATTGGCTGATATTTCCCAGCTTGCAGTCTTTGACTAAACAAGTTTTTCTAGACAAAACTTCCATCCGTCCATCTATTATTAATACACCACTTAATCCTCACTAGGGTCGTGTGGGGCTGGAGCCTATCCCAGCTGACTTAGGGCGAAGGCAGGGGACACCCTGGACAGGTAACCAGCCTATCACAGGGCTACACTTAGAGACAGACAACCAAGCACACTCACATTCACACCTATGGACCATTTAGAATCATCAGTTAACCTCAACATGTTTTTGGACTGTGGGAGGAGGCCGGAGAATCCAGAGAGAACCCACGCTGCACAGGGAGAACATGCAAACTCTACGCAGAAAGATCCTGGGTGTCCTCACTGGGACACAAACCGGCAACCTTCTTGCTGCGAGGAGACAGTGCTAACCACAGAGCCACCTTGCAGCCCTACACAAAACTTCTAAAACCATTTCATTTACATTGTGCACAGTCATTGTCATCTTGCAATGTAATGGTCTTCCACAAACTGTGTCACTGCCATGGTTTACTGTGCACTATAAGTCAGTCTTAGAAGGGACAGTAAGTGAAAGTATCACTTGATATTAAAGAATTCAGTTACAATTAAAAGTCTTGCAATCAAAGTTTTACTAAGGTAGAAGTACAGAAGAATTATCAGAAAAATGCACTGCAGATTTAGTTTTATGACTGACCTGCACTCAGATTTTGGTGACTTCTTTGTTTGACTCAAACAAAACATGGAAGTTCAACACCACATACAGCAGTCATATGGATTTAAATTTATACTTAGGCCATTAATTCTGTTCTGTGCTTTTGCCTCAATCTGCTCGGTTCCTCCTGTCTGTTATGTGCACAGCTGTCTGTGGGTGTGTGTGTGTGTGTGAATGCTCACTGACACGCACACACATGCACATATTTCATCATGATTCGTGTGCTGCAGATACATTTCACATATCCTAAAAATAGCAGCCACCGCTGATTTCAGCAGCCGTAACCAGTCAGCTTTACGCAAGGCACCAAAGCCTTTAGAGCAGTCTCACAAGTCTTTGAAAGGACATGTGAAGACAGTAGCTGTCTGTCTGGCTGTCTGTCGGTGTGTGTGTGTCTGTGTGTGTGTGTGTGTGTGTGTGTGTGTGTGTGTGTATGCGCAGAAGGGCTTGCATGTAGAAGATTGACTGCAAAATTGTGACTCTATAAAATAAGGGGGAGTTTAATAACCATAACGAATTTGATATTCTCTCTGCTACCTCTGGGGGTCCTAAGGGCTCTATCACTGAGCACAAACCGACATACACACTCTGATTTCGTGTCTCAAGGTTGTCCTTCACAGACTTTTGCTAATGTGTGTGTGCGTGAATATAGGATCTAACTGTAATTTAATATCAACTAAGCGCCCGCTGCACTGCATTTATGTGTTCCGCCATATTGATGCTGTCATTTCCACTGTGGCAGCCATATCGCCGGGACAAAAGTTCAACTCATAATGGAATATTATTAAGATTATGAACCTCTGCATATGGAATAGGAGGCGGTTAAACTGTTTAAGTATGTAGAGAAGAAGCGGGTGGTTTTTATTGTTCTCCCTATAAAACTGGAAATCTTGTAAAACAATGACTTTCAATTAAAGTCCAATTGGGATTAAGTT